TAGAAGATTCCATCTAAACAGTAGGAAGAACTTCCTGACTGTGAAAAGTGTTCAGCAGTGGAACTCTCTGACCTGGAGTGTGGTGGAGGCTCCTTCTTTGGAAGCCTTTAAACAGAGCTGGATGGCCATCTGTCAGGGGTGATTTGAATGCAATATTCCTGCTTCTTGGCAGGAGGTTGGACTGGATGGCCCATGAGGTCTCTTCCAATTCTTTGATTCTATGTCATTTTTTACCTTTTTGATAAGGTTATGGTGCACTTATTTCCAAAATGTTATGGAATTTCCAATAACCCCATTGCCTTAGTCTGATTCCATGGCTTTTAATTTTTGAATTTGCTCCATAAACTATTTAGAATTAGACGTATTATTGTTTTTAAAGAGTATTTTAATGTGTATTTAAAATGTTTCCTATTTGTACTGTTCCCTTTGGTTTTTGTCTTTTTCTCAAGAACCCCTGTGGACTAGGAAGCAATATAGAAATGTCTTAATTAAATAAACCTATGCATGACTTCATGGCCTTGGGGTACAATCGGTCGGAGCTGCAGCAGTCAGTCCAAGTCCACTTTTAAGTACAAGAAAACAGCTGTTTAAATACGTTTTCTTGATTTGTTCAGTCTGCCATATTTCTCCACCCTCCGTTCCTGCTTTTCTTGGAAAGAGCTCAGTGTATTAAACGTCACATGCTTTCTTGATATAAGAAAATAATTATTGAAACTTAAGGACTCCAACTGGATGAGATGGCAATAACTTAACAAAGTGCCTGTTCAGAGATCACTTATTATCACATCATTCACAGCACTGACTCTTAGGAGGTCTGTTTTCTTCTTCCCATAGGAAAGAAACAAATGAGAGAATCTCCCCATGGGGTCCCGCAGAGAGCTGAATCCGTCCTTTTAGACACCCCATCCCCCAGGATTAGGTTCTCCTTTAGCTGGAAGATGCTGTGAGTCTCATGACACTGAGCTTAGCAGAGGAATGTTGTGAGAGGCCTTGCCTTTTAAAGCATAGCATGATCCAGAGAACTGTTGACAACTCTTGGCCATTTTGACCTCCTTAAGGCTATTATTTTGTTCTGTTTGTTGAGATCAGAGCAGTGTTTAGCCTGTGTGCTCTGTTTTAGTGTAGCCCTGTTTTAGCTGGCCATCTAGAAGCAAGAGTTTTTGTGTAGACTTATCGTATATACTCGAGTATAAGCCAACCCAAATATAAGCCGAGGCACTTAATTTTAGTACAAAAAAAACCTGGGAAAACATATTGACTCGAGTATAAGCTGAGGGTGGGAAATGCAGCTGTTACGGGTAAATTTCAAAACAAAAATAAATACCAATAACATTATGCGAGGAAGTGTTCAGGGTGGACGAAAAAGCACACGCTGCTGTCGTGTGACAGGAGAGTAGAGGGAGATTTATTGTTTATTTCTCTGAATTCTGCCACCAACTTGTATAGTGGAGGCCAATTGTTATATGTAATCTATGGTAACTGCCACCAACGTGAGATATGAGGTATTACTGTGAGATATGGCAATACAGACGCAGAGTGGATGGAGAGAGACAGTCTCCAACAAAAGATAACTGGTTTATTGAGAACAAAGCGTGTGGTTACAAGTTGTAACTTAATTTATAGAACTTTGAATAATACTTGGTTAGTTAAACATTTCACTCTTCCAGGTTACATAGTATCTCACTGAGGTGAAGCTCTTATTACTAAACAATGTTTCAGTACAGGAATATCTTCCCTATTTGATCTTTCCTTGATCAAATAAATTAACAAGCTTATCCTTTAGCCTTTCCCTTGACTAAAGAAAACTGGCTATGTTTCTCCTTTCAGCCTCCTAAGACTGAGAAACCTCCAGTAGCTATTCAGGCTTCCCAAAGCCACAATTCTTTGCTTCACACTTCACTCTCCCACTCTACTCTTCACTTCCACTCTTTTACTCCTCTCAGATACAAAATCAACTCCTAACTGACTCTCCAACTGTCTGTTTTCAAAACTCTCTCCACTTGGCTCCTCCCACTTCTCCTTCTGCCAGCTTGCCTTGGTCTCCATGGTAACGCTGACTGAGGTTCTCTGAAATAGGCTGCTCCAGTGTTACTGTAGCTAACCCAAACACACATATATATACAGTTTAAAACATGCAAAGTATGAATAACTTCTGCACACATTACATTAATTGAGGCATCAGGAGGTGAAATGTTTTTGAATATTTACATAAAACTGCAGTTTGAGATAAGACTGCCCAACTCTGATTAAGTCATTATTTTAACCTTCTTCAATGTAAATATTCTTGCACATCCTTCCAACATTAATGAGAATAAAATAATAAATGTAATAATAATAATAATAATAATAACAATAAAGTAAAATAATGGAAATGCAATAATAACAGTAATAATAGAGCAAATAATAATAAATGTAATAATAATAGGGTAAAATACTGTAAATGTAATAATAATAAAGAAAGTAAAATAATACATGAAATAAAAATAATACTAATAACAGAATAAAATAATAAATAACCTTGACTCGAGTATAATCCAAGGGGAGCTTTTTCAGCCTAGAAAAGGGGCTGAAAATCTAGGCTTATACTCGAGTATATACAGTTACACAATGTTCGGAATCAGTTCTTTTGAAAAGCAACAGAATGGCAAGAGCAATGCAAAACCAGAACCGTCTGTTCTTTCTGGAAGGAATTATATTATTAGACTTGTTAATAGTGAAATTACATCCATTCGCGATAGAAAATAATTTTATATTGTACTAGTTTGGGTACCCCATGTTGCCCGAATTTTTAAAAAAGACATTTTTAAAAAATTTACAAAATGCATAAGGTTGTGGGTGGACTACAACTCACATCATTCCAGGTTAACCCCCAGAAACTCCATCAGTAGTTAAAGTTTGCCATGTTGGACAAGTTTTGCACTCCAGGACAGGAATAATCCTCTGACTTTAAACACCACGCGTTGAATAGGAAAAACAATCCAAAAACAGTAAAGCAAAAAGCACTTTAAAGAAATTGGTAAATCCAATTAGGTAAGAAGATAAACAGGAACAAATAATTCCAAGGTGGAGTTCAGCCAAGTCCATAAAAGCAAAGTTCACACAACTCTAAAACAATCCAGAAAATCAGGAATACATTGATCCAAGGCTTGGGTAAGCACTCATGAAATCCAGGAATGAAAACCCTGAAACAAGACATATCTTAGCTTGAATCTTTAAAGCAAGGCTTCCATGAACAAGGACAAGAACTTGGTGCGAGTCTAAACAATGCTTCATCTGACTACACATCCCAAACTTGAGACTTTTATCCCCTCGTTAGCTAGGTCACTAGCGGTCAGAAATTGGTTTCTCTTTACTTGAGGCTTTGTTATTGTTTTCTGACAAAGTCTGGTAGGGCGGCGAAGGCATTGCTCAGCTCTCCTATTTTGACTGATCTCTTCTTGTCTATCTCTTGGCTCATTATGTACTTACTCATTAATTTTTGCAGCTGGGCCAGGTGCCGGGCTATTTTCATGTTCTCTCTCATGAGCACCTTCTGCTAACAATTCAGAAAGCACACCATCATCCCCACACCCCTCAGGGACATTCTCATGGGAAACTACAGGGATCTTCTGGTCATTCTCTGCATCAGTATCACTGACCAAACCATTGCCATCTTGAAACGCATCTTGAAACGCATCTTGAACCTCATTAACATCATTCCCCATATCCAAAGCACCCTGATCGTGAAACACAATCACAGGCTGAACTCCAACAGCAAGATTGGTCTAGATCAGTGATGGGCAACCTTTTGAGCTTGGTGTGTCAAAATTTGCCAAAAACCTGAGGGTGGAGTGCCACTTCAAGAAAAAAACCCATAATTTTGCAATATTTATAGTTTAAATAAGAAAAATGTATAATCCATGCTGCGTTATGGAGTGGACAATGCTCAAATGTGCATATGTTAAATTTGTTGAGCCTTTTACAAATTTAAGGATGGAATTAGATTGGCTCTTATAAGGTGTATTTCTCTGTATGTGGCCACATGTGTCTGCGTGTCATCAAAAATAGCCAATCGTACCAGTGCTGACACGCGTGTCATAGTTTTATCATCATTGGTCTAGATGCATCATTGGTGGGGTTCAGTGCGATCTCTGGCTGCAGGATAAACTACAGCTCCCACCATGGTGGGTCGGTCCCCTCAAATCCCTCCAGTAGGTTCAGTTGGTCAGAAGGATTCTGTGTGCAAAGTTTGGTCCAGATCAGTCATCGGTGGTGGCCACAATGTCTTTGGTTGTAAGTGAACTACAACTTCCAGAAATGAAGGTCAGTTTCCCCCAAACCTCTTTTGCCCTCCATTYGTGCCTCTTCAAATTCTACAGCACTGCTGGTCACAGCTGACCWCCAGCTGGAACGTTTCGCCCACATCTATGGCAGGCATCTTCAGAGGCGTCTCAACCTCTGAGGATACCTSCCATAGATGTAGGTGAAAAGTTAGGAGAGAATGCTTCTGGAACATAACCATACAGCCCAGAAAACTCACAGCAACCCAGTGATTCTGGCCATGAAAGCCTTCAACAACACGAAGTACACACTGTTTTCCACAGGTCTGGGTCTGAATYGTCTTGAGTGTTTTGTATTTGGGGTGAGAAGGAAGAATAAATGGCTCTGAAACCAATCTGTTTAGGCCTACTGTGCTTTCTGTTAGTTGGGAGGATAAACCTGCAGTCTGCAGTACCCAATGTGTGGCTCCTACCGCATGGGATCTGGTTTCAGCATTGGCTCTATAACATTGAAGCACAAATGGCAAAGGCCATAGTCTGGCGAAAAGCAAGAGGTATTAATTACATTGACCTAAAAGGCGAATGAAGCATGATAGTGTGTTTGGTGAATCACAAGACCAGAGGTTGGAATTGAAGAACAGAGCAGGTGCAAAAATGGCCGGGGAAACAAATTCACATTCCAGTGTTCTGAAAACAGTTCCCCATTTTATTAACATCTGAAAAACTCATTATTTTTTTTAGCAGAGTATCTAGAAGAGCTTCCTGAAACAGATGAACCTGCTTGGATCTTGGGAAGGCAACACCAACTTAAAACTGGTAGGTTGGAATGAGAAGATCACAGTATGTTTACTCAGTAGTTATTTATCAATCACTAGCTGTAACCGCCACGCGTTACTGTGGCCAACCTTCCGTTCCTCTTTCTTTCTCGCCTTCCTTTTCTCCCTCTTTCCTTCAGTCCTACTTTTTTTCTTTCCTTCTCTCTTTCCTTCAATATTCCTTCCTTTTCTTTTTCTTCTTTGAAATCTCCTCAGCTTTAAGGGGAAAGCTGTTAGCTCTTTGGGACTTTGGTTTTGGATCTTCGTTTCTGGGTTTGGACCTTGAAAGCTTTGCTTCGCATTTAAGATCCTGTTTTGACTTTTGAATTTCAGCAACCATATTTTTTGGATTTTATCTTTCTTCAATAAACTACAAAATTTTCAGCCCTGGTGTGTGGTGTTGTTCTGAGCAAGATGAATCTATCCTGAGTTGCGACACATGCACTGTTACGTATTCTTGGTTTTGGGGGGTTTTAAGTTCTTTCCGATTAATTGTTTTTTGTCTTTTGAAGGACATACATTGGTTTAGTTGGTGTATTGTGGCAAAATTTGATGTCAATTCGTCCAGTGGTTTTTGAGTTATGTTAATCCCACAAATGAAACATTACTTTTTTATTTATATAGATTGTTGTACCTTTTGCATTCTTTTTCTAAAAGAGAATTTTATTAGATTTTCCATAATACAATGAAAGAGTGAGACCAATACAATATAGAAAGAGAGAAAAAGAGAGAAGTATATAAGGAAGTAAAAAACTGTAGAGGGCGTGATCTCACTGAAAATAGATTTACTGTATGTAGTACCTATTTATTTATTTATTTATTTACTTTATTTGTATACCGCTCTTCTCAGCCCTTAGGCGACTCAGAGCGGTTTACAACAGTTTAGGTATACACAATACAAAATCATTAAGCATTTAAAAGCAATAGCATCACAAATCATTAAACATCAATATAATACATCACTACATCAATATAATAAATCCATCAGGTCTCATCCATGAAATCAGAATCCAAACTCGTTATCCGATATTCCGTGTTCCGATAGTCAGTCAATCAATCACACTGCTTAGTCGAATGCCTGTTCAAACAGCCAGGTCTTTACTTTCCTCCGGAATGCCAGCAAGGAGGGGGTCGATCTAATATCTGCAGGAAGGGTGTTCCACAGCCGAGGGGCCACCACTGAGAAGGCCCTGTCTCTCGTCCCCGCCAGGCGTGCTTGTGAAGCCGGCGGGATCGAGAGCAGGGCCTCCCCAGACGATCTTAATGTCCTAACTGGTTCATAGGTTCATACCTAGCATGTTTGTGCTGCTGATCAATAAAATAATTACACTTTTAATACATAATACTGAATGATTTTTAGTCATCAGATGACCAAGACTTATACAAGTGTGTTAAAATAAGATTATTCTCTAAGGCTTTCATGGCCGGAATCACTGGGTTGTTGTAAGTTTTTTCGGGCTGAAATCCACAAGCATGTGGATAATTTCAACAGAAAGGAGGAAACCATGAAAGTGAACAAAATCTGGCTACCAGTATTAAAAAAACCTCTAAAATCACAACAGCAGAACAACAGAGAGGAAACTATCTGGGACATCTAATCACCTCTCAACAAAAGATTGCCCCAGGAACTGCCAGGCCATCAAATACTAATGAAGGTGGTCAGTTGAAACATTCACACCTAGCTCCAGCAGACAAGAGTCCTTTGTCCCACTCTAGTCATTCCACAGGTATATACACCCTTTTTCCTAGTCCCAACAGACCTCACAACCTCTGAGGATGCTTGCCATAGATGCAGGTGAAACGTCAGGAGAGAATACCTCTAGAATATGGCCATATAGCCCGAAAAAACCTACAACCAAGATTATTCTCCTTTGGAAAATAATTGTATTGCACTGAAAAAAAAAGATGAAGATAACTATTGGACAGTTCTTAGGAATGTTCCTTTGGGCCTGTCAAAAGTGTAATATGTGAAATAACAAACCTTCCTGATGTCAATGTCTAATTGGGACTCATATTTTTAATGCTGCTCTTTGATTATAGAAAAATCCAAGCTTCTTTTGGACATAAGCTCTCGCCTTTGGTTTACCTACAGAAGAAAGTTTTCACCAATCGGTAGGTGTTTTTCCCTCCATCTTTTTGCTCCCGTCTTGTTTTCAAGAGCATTAGTACACAAGGAATGGTGCAGTGGGTTAAACCAGTGGTTCTCAGCCTTCTTAATGCCACAACCCCTTAATACAGTTCCACATTTTACTCTATTATCATTACTACATTTGGTACATTATTTTCCTCTATTATTGTTATTTTATTACATTCATTATTATTGCATTTATTATTTTACGCTTATTATTTGTATTACATTTATTATTTTACTCTATTATTATTGGAAGGATACATAAGCACATTTACACTGAAGAAGGTTAGAATAATGGTTTAATCAGAGGGGGACAGTCTTATAGAGCGGAATATAAATAAAGTTTTATTATTATTATCTTAAATTACAGTTTTATGTAAATATTCAAAAACATTTAACCTGCTGATGCCTCAATTAATGTAATTTTATTGGTATCTATTTTTATTTTGAAATTTACCCATAGCTGCTGCATTTCCCACCCTCGGCTTATACTCGAGTCAATACGTTTCCCTGTTTTTTGTGGTGAAATATGGTGCCTTGGCTTATAGTTGGGTCAGCTTATACTTGAGTATATACGGTATTCCAGTAGCAAATAGATATTTTTCTATGGCACTTATTCAAAGTCATGTGCTTTTGAGCCAAAGACCTTTAGCATTGTGTATATTTCTTTCATAAATACATAAATATGGTGGCTCTTGATCCTAGGTGGCACAGGCCCATCCTCAGATGCAGGCTGGGGCTGCATGCTGCGATGTGGACAGATGATGCTAGCACAGGCTCTGATCTGCCGGCACCTGGGAAGGGGTGAGTGTACTCTTTTTTTGACCAAGAAATCCCAATAATTGTAAGGTTAGGAAACCCGAAACAGGGATAATAATGTGTTTTAAAATACCTGGAGGAATGCCCTTTGGAATGCATGGAAGAAGGCCTCCTGTGCCATTTTATGCTCGGGAGTAGCCTTTAATTTTAATTCCTGATGCAAAGGCCTGGGTGATGAAATTGCCCTCACACCTTTAGAGAAATGTTTCCCACTCTGACTTCATGTCCCAGAATTCTTGGTCATTGGCCAAAGCAGCAGAGACTTCTGGGAATTGAAGTCCAAAATACTGGAGGACTCAAGTTTGTTAATCTTCCCAAGGTATCTCAGGACATAATTTTTCTGGAAAGTATATGACTCTCTAAGACAGGGGTCCTCAAACTAAAGCCCGAGGGCCAGATATGGCCCTCCAAGGTTATTTACCCAGCCCTCGCTCAGGGTCAACCTAAGTCTGAAATGACTTGAAAGCAAACAACAACAATCCTATCTCATCAGCCAAAAGCAGGCCCACACTTCATTGAAATATATGTATTTGTATTATCAAACCATAAAACCACTTGGGTTGTTGTAGGTTTTTTCGGGCTATATGGCCATGTTCTAGAGGCATTCTCTCCTGACGTTTCGCCTGCATCTATGGCAAGCATCTATTACCTCTGAGGATGCTTGCCATAGATGCAGGCGAAACGTCAGGAGAAAATGCCTCTGGAACATGGCCATATAGCCTGGAAAAACCTACAACAACCCAATTATTGTATTGTTTTTAAGTGTTTTTTGCACTACAAATAAGATATGTGCAGTGTGCATAGGAATTAATTCATGTTTTTTTCCTATTATAATCCAACCCTCCAACAGTTTGAGGAACTGTGACCTGGCTCTCAGTTTAAAAAGTTTGAATAACCCTGCTCTAAGTTTTCATGCAGAGTAAGGCAACCTAGTAACCTGCCTATACTTTTGATGGTATATTGCAAAGCTTAGAAGTGATCCTTTTTGGATTATTTACTTTTTATATATTTATTTATTTATGATATTTATATGCCACCCCTCTCACCCCGAAGGGGACTCAGAGCGGCTTACAAGATATATATATATACAATATATTATATTATTAGCATAGTACAATATCAGTATTAAATGTTACTATATTGTACTATACCATTATATTGTAATATTATTAGTAATATTACATGTATTAAAATATATAATTATAATATATTATTATTAGAATTATATTGCATTACATTATAATATTATAAATATTATATTTATATACAATATATTGTTATATTACATTATATTATATTATATTATATTATTAGCACATCACAGGAGACAAGGTGGAACTGTCTACTGCCCCCCCCCCTTCACTCTGGCCCACATCGGAAGTTGGTCCTGGGGGGAGGGGTCCTCAGCTGATGACATCTGTTATGATCCATAATGATAGGCATTGCAGCCCAAAACAGTAATTTTTACCAAGGTTGCTGTGAGTTTTCTGGGCTGTATGGCCATATTCCATAAGCACTTTCTCCTGCCCTTTTGCCTGCATCTATGGCAGGCATCCTCTGAGGTTGAGAGATCTGTTGGAAACTAGGAAAATTGGGTTTATGTATCTGTATAATGTCCAGGGTGGGAGAGTCTTGTCTGTTTGAGGCAGATGTAAATGTTGCAATTGCCCTTCTTGATTAGCATTTAATGGCCTTGCAGTTTCAAGGTCTTGCTGCTTCCTGCCTGGGGATCCTTTGTTGGGAGGTATTAGTTGGCCCTGATTGTTTCTTGTCTGGAATTCCCCTGAGTGTTGTTCTTTATTTAATGTTTTGATTTTTAGTAGCCAGATCTTGTTCATTTTCATGGTTTCCTCCTTTCTGTTGAAATTGTCCACATGCTTGTTGATTTCAGTGGCTTCTCTTTGAAGTCTGACGTGGTAGTAGAGTAGTCCAGCATTCACACCTGCCTCAAACAGACAAGAGTTCTCTCTCCCACCCTGGACATTCCACAGAAATATAAACCCCACTTGCCTAGTTTCCAACAGACCTCACAACTGCTGTATTGTTGTTGTCTTTTATTGTTTTATTGGGTCTTGGCCTATTGTAAGCCGCACTGAATCCTTTGAGAGATGGTAGCGGGGTATAAATAAAGGTTTATTAATTTATTATTATTAACCTCTGAGGATGCCTGCCATAGATGTGGGTGAAACGTCAGGAGAGAATGCTTCTGGAACATGGCCATACAGCCCGGAAAACTCATAACAACACAGTGATTCCTGCCATGAAAACCTTCGACAATACATTTCCTTTGAAAAAAAAAGGTTTCTAGTGGTTTCTTATTACTTCTAGTTTAGACCACGTAAGATTGCCATTTCAGTGACTGACTTTGCATAATCATCTCTGGTTCTTATTTGCTTGTACTTCCTGCCAATACTATGTGATCATTAAAATCTTAAATAATGTTCTCTCTTTAAGATTGGCATTGGGAGGAACATAAAAAGCAACCTGAAGAATATCACAGGATCTTGCGTTGTTTCTTAGACAGAAAAGATTGCTGTTACTCCATCCACCAAATGGGTAAGAGCTGTCTCCTGGGCTCCATCCTTGCATTTTAAGTGGCCAGTGCATATACATTTCTGTTAGCATCTATTGAAATTATGGAAGGTGCATGTTTTTAGTTGTTGATGGCAAGGCATAAATTTTGGTCAGCCTGGCATAGGTGAAGAGGTGTAACTTATTAAGGAAAGAAAAGTATCATAAGATACCTCATCTATACACATAACAAAAAGAGAAAATATGTATGTGTGTGTATGTGATTGTGTGTATGTGTCCACTTATACAGATAGGCTCCTGCCTCCATAAACAGCTATATCTCCTACTACTCAGGATACACCAAAGCCCATGCTAACTTTCTGTTGGATATAAAAAGCAGATGTCATTGGGCCGACACATTCCTGGTGCTTCTGCTATTTGGTGTGTCTCTTTCTTTTTCTTGTCCACACAGCACAGATGGGTGTTGGTGAAGGGAAGTCTATTGGAGAATGGTTTGGACCAAATACGGTTGCCCAGGTGCTCAAGTAAGCAAGCATGGATATATTGCTTTGTGTGTGTAATATATGCCTGGCCACTTGTAGTGTAGTGCACAAGCCAACCTTCATGTTATGATGGTTTCCCCTGGAGTTTATTGATAGTTTTATTTGTATCCATACCACTGAAAAGCTCTTCTGGCACTTCACATCTCTATCATGATATTATGTGTTGTAACTATTTGAAAGAGACAGTGATTTTATAATGAAACCTACATCTGGAGAAAGAATCCTCTGTTTTGCTTTAGTAGATTTCTGCAACTGTTTAACCTGTCTTTGTAAATCAGATCTTAATCTATTAGACATAAGAGGAATATTATTTCTGGTCCCAGTGGCACAGTGGGTTAAACCACTGAGCTGCTGAACTTGCTGACCGAAATGTTGCCAGTTCGAATCTGGGGAGCAGGGTGAGCTCCTGCTATTAGCCCCAGTTTCTGCCAACCTAGCAGTTCAAAAACACACAAATGTGAATAGATCAGTAGGTACCGCTCCAACAGGAAGGTAATGGTGGTCCATTATTATAATTATAATGTTGCAGTTGGCCATCTTGATTAGCATTTGAAGGCCTTGCAGTTTCAAAACCTAGGTGGTTGCTGTCTGGGGGAATCTTTTGTTGGGAGGTGTTTATGGCAAAAAGTAGGGAAATTCCAGTTAGTAATCAATCAGGGCCAGCTAACACCTCACAACAAAGGATACCCCCAGACAGGAAGCAGCCAGGATTTGAAGCTGCAAGGCTAAACAGTCCTAATCAAGGTGACCAATTGCAACATACACACTTGCCTCCAACAGACAAGAGTTCTTTCTCCCACCCTGGACGTCATTCCACAGGTATATAAACCCTACTTGCCTAGTTTCCAACAGACTTCACAACTTCTGAGGATGCCTGCCATAGATGTGGGTGAAATGTCAGGAGAGAATGCTTCTGGAACATGGTCATACAGCCCAGAAAACGCACGGCAACCCAGTCATACTGGCCGTGAAAGCCTTCGACAACATAATAATAAATACATTACAGAAAATGGCAAATGGGAAAGGATTTCCTAAACCTTAGCCTTTGCCCTCTCCCAAACAAAACTGGCCAAGCTGTTTCAGTTATGTTTAAACTTAAACCAGAATAGGAGTACAACTGCATTGAATCCTGCTTTGTTTTTATTCAGGAAATTGGCACTCTTTGATGAATGGAACTCTCTAGCCGTTTATGTGTCTATGGACAACACTGTGGTGATTGAAGATATCAGTAAGTTTGATGTCCATCTCCAGTTTCTGTTCTGTGTAGTTTCTAAATTCAGTTGGGGTTTACCTTCTGTCTGATTCTGTTTCCAGAGAAACTGGGAAAGATACCTTATATACTCGAGTATAAGCCGACCAGAATATAAGCCGAGGAACCTAATTTTACCACAAAAACTGAGAAAACGGATTGACTCGAGTATAAGCCGAGGGTGGGAAATGCAGCCGCTACGGGTAAATTGCAAAATAAAAATAGATACCAATTACAGTATATTCTGCCGTATAAGACTACTTTTTAACCCAAGAAAATCTTTGCAAAAGTCAGGGGTCGTCTTATACGCAGGTGTAGTCTTATGCATGGGAGTCGTCTTAACTCTATATTTTAACTGGAAAAGTTGGGGGTCGTCTTATACGCCCAGTCGTCTTATATGCCGGAATGTACATTACATTAATTGAGGAATCGGTAGGTTATATATTTTTGAATCTTTACAAAAACGGTAATTCAAGATAAGACTGTCCAACTCTGATTAAATGATTATTTACCTTCTTACGTATCCTTCCAACAATAATAGAGAGAGTAACATAATAAATGTAATAATAACAATAATAATAATAATAATAATAATAATAAAGTAAAATAATGAATGTAGCAATAACAACAATTATACAGTAAAATAATAAATGTATAATAATAGAGTAAAATGACAAATGTAATAATAATAAATAGAATAAAATAATAAATGAAATGATGATGATGATGATGATGATGATGATGATGATAATAATAATAATAATAACAACAGAGTAAAATAATAACCTTGACTCAAGTATAAGCCGACTCAAGTATAAGCTTCTTCCAACCTAGCAGTTCGAAAACATGCCGGGGAGCGGCGTGAGCTTCCGCTGTCAGCCCTAGCTTCTGCCAACCTAGCAGTTCGAAAACATGCAAATGTGAGTAGATCAATAGGCAGGAACAACATTTAAAAAAAATACATTACAACGCATGCGCAAAATCACATATATACACACAAGCACATATATAAACATATACACAGACAGGGCCACAGCAACGTGTGGCAGGTAACGGCTAGTCTATATAAATAAAAATGTAATGTTCATTTTTGGGATTAACATAACTCAAAAACCACTGGATGAATTGAGACCAAATTTGGACACAGCAGGCCAACAAGCGACCATCACTCATAAAAACACTGAAAACCACAGCAGAAGAGATTTAAAAAGCCAAAAAACAAAAATCACATTACAGTGCATGCGCAAAACCACACATATATACGCAATCACATATATATACGACACAAAACACATATACACAGACTAGGCCACAGCAACGCGTGGTAGGGGATGGCTAGTATCTTATAAAAAAATGCTGACATACCAGTGGTTGTGACTTAACCTCTAGGCTTTGGTAGTGACTTAACCCCTAGGCTCTTGCTCCCCAGAGAAGATGTGCCGGTTCCCCACCCAGAACTGCCCCCCGGGTGCCCACTGCAGCCCTCTCTCGCACCGGAGTCTGCTGAGCCGGAACAGGAGCCCTGGCGGGTTCTGCTGTGGTTGGAAGCCTCTGCTGCTGATTATACCTCTTCGCTTGGGGATAAACCACATCAACCCAGTCTATGTGGACGCGTTTAAGGTACCATTCATTATGTTTCTCAACCTTCCTAATGACACGACCCCTTATAACCGTTCCTCATGTTGTGGTGACACCCCCCCCAGCTATAACATTATTTACATTACTACTTTCATAACTAAATTTGCTACTGTTATGAATCATAATGTAAATATTTGATATGCAGGATGTATTTTCATTCACTGGACCAAATTTGGCACAAATACCCAATATGCCCATATTTGAAAAAAACAAAACAAACAAAAAACCAATATGCCCGTATTTGAATACTGGTGAGGTTTTGGGGGAAGATTGATTTTGTCATTTGAGAGTTGTAGTTGCTGGGGTTTATAGTTCACCTACAATCAAAGAGCATTCTGAACTCTCCCAGTGATAGAATTGAACCAAACTTGGCACACAGAACTCCCATTACCAACAGAAAATACTGGAAGGGGTTGCAGGGCATTGACCTTGAGTTTTGGAGTTGTAGTTCACCTACATCCAGAGACTCAAGCTAGGATGGATCTGGACCAAACTTGGCAAAAATACTCAATATGCCCAAATGTGGACACTGGTGGAGATTGGGGAAAATAGACCGTGACATTTGGGAGTTGTAGTTGCTGGGTTTTGTAGTTCACCTACAATCAAAGAGCATTCTGAACCGCATCAACAATAGAATTGGGCCAAACTTCCCACACAGTACCCCTATCACCAACAGAAAATACTGTTTTTCTGATAGTCTTTGGTGACCCCTTTGACACCCTCTGGCGACCCCCCCCCCGGGGTCCTGACCCCCAGGTTGAGAAATACTGCATTAACGGGAGGTCTAGGTCAAGTCGAAGTGATGGATGTCTAGGGTAATATTTAGAGCGGGCATGGACAAACTTCGGCCCTCTGGGTGTTTTGGATTTCAACTCCCACAATTCCTAACAGCCTCAGGCCCCTTCCTTTCCCCCCTCAGCCACTTAAGCCTGAGGCTGTTAGGAATTGTGGGAGTTGAAATCCAAAACACCCAGAGGGCCAAAGTTTGCCCATGCCAGATTTACAGCAAACCAATCTTTAAATGACGGTATCCATTGGAGGGGGAAACTTTGGAACAGAAACCTCACACAGTGGGTCCATTGTATCCCTGGGATTTTTGTATCCTTGGAAAGAAAAGTGGAATAAAAATATAATAATTTTCTTTTTTTGATCCCTAGGAGTGTTTTAAGATGCCGCAGTCTTTGGGAGCTTTAGGAGGAAAACCAAACAATGCCTACTATTTTATAGGATTTCTAGGTAAGGAGAACATAAACGCATGTGTGAAATGTTGAGTTCTGTTGAGAAGAATTCTCTTAAAGCTGACATTTGTCAGTAACTGGATGTAGGAAAGAAAGAGTGGAATGCTTTTGGATAAAAGTTTGAATGGTTCAGCTCTTGATAACCAGAATAGAATAGCTTTATTTGTCATTGTGCTATTGCATGACAAAATTACATTCCTCCCCCCTGCACACAACACAAAACAACACACCCATCCCCACAACACAGCTCCCAATGCCACATCGGTGTAAAACCACGCAGTTCAACCTAACCACAGCTCTAGAATCAAAGCTATTCTTCAGTTTGTTTGCCCTTGTCTTTGTTACCCTGTACTGTCTGTCATGGCAATAATTCAACAAAAAAGAATATGCCAGGTATGTCAGTAGTCAAATTTGGTTCAAAATAACATTTCTAGGTGCTGAAGCCATTGTCTTTTGTGTTTTTAATATGGTCTCTTTAATTTGGTTACATGATGACAGTTGGTGTATTTATTTTATTTTAATTTTTTTATTTTATTTGATATATGTATTTCATTGTTTGAATTTTATGTTGTGGGCTCCCTAGTGGTGCAGCGGGTTAAACTGCTGACTTGCTGAGCTTGCTTACCAAAAGGTCGCAGGTTCGAATCACGGGAGCGGGGTGAGCTCTCAGTGTTAGCCCCAGCTTTTGTCAACCTAGCAGTTTGAAAACATCCAAATGTGAGTAGATCAATAGGTAAGTAATGCCACTCCATGCAGTCATGCTGGCCACATGACCTTGGAGGTGTCTACAGACAATGCCAGCTTTTTGGCTTAGAAACGGAGATGAGCACCACACCCCAAAGTAAAACTCAACTGGACTTAATGTCTGGGGAAACCATTACCATTACTTTACGAAATTTATGATCTTCCAAGAAGGCCCTGCTCTCGATCCCACCTTTGTGCAAATGTGACACAACTAGACTTAATGTCAGGGGAAATATTTGCCTTTCCCTTTAATTTTATGTTGATATGTTTTGAGTTTGTTGTACCATGACTCGAGCTGTTAGGAGTGGTGAGTAAACAAATGAAATGTGTTGTTGTTATTTGCAATACAAGACTGGATTAAAATTCTCCTGGTTTCTAACAGAATGTGTTTGTTCTATCCATACAGGAAATGAGCTGATCTACCTGGACCCTCATACCACTCAGCTTTTTGTAGATTTTGAGGAAAATGGCACTGTCGACGACCGAAGCTTTCACTGCCAGCAAGCGCCTCATCGGATGAAGATTATGAATCTCGATCCCTCTGTAGCATTAGTAGGTATTAAGGGAAATACTTTGTGGGACTAGTTGAAAAGGGGCAGATTTGGTCCAGTTAGAGCAGTGGTTCCCAACTTTATTTGACCAGGGACCACTTTGACCAGGAACCACTCTCCAACATTTGTACCAAAAGCGTTACGAATCAGTTTTTGGTCAACTTTAGACTCAGTTTGGCCATTTGTGGTGCTGATTCAGAAAATTGCATTGGATAGACCACATCAGCTTGGGTTTCTGATACAGAACATATGCGACCCAGTAGTCACCATCTGCTCAACCACAGAAAACCATATTTAATAATCTAGAGCTGATGTGGTCTATCCAATGCAATTTTCTGAATCAGCACCCCAATTAAGCCCAGGAACAGGACTAACAATGAAGGCACGAAGGCGCCCACATGGAATGGCTCCACTCAGGGGGAGGGAGGAGAAGGAGAAGCAGCAGTCAGGAGGCTTGTGGTCATGCTGACATCCCCGTTGCCTCAACACTTTAAGAGGATTTCTCAAGACCAGTCACTCTCCTTGCAACAGTGTAGTAACGGTGAGGCTGTGGACCATATTTTAGTTCTCGGGGACCACTGGTGGTCCACGAGAATGGGTTGAGTTAGAACCATAGAGGCTTTGAACCTTCCAATTTGCTCGCTGCTCAGTCCAATTGAAGAAATTGGATGAGCCCTATGTTTAGTTTTTGTTAATGCCAGGCAGTCAGGGAATTTGAATATTGCTTTCCATGATGGGAATAGGCATTTCCAATCATGTGGCGCCGCTGGCTGGGAGTCAGCTGCATTAAGATCATTACTGACCAAAAGGTCATGAGTTCGAAGCCTGCCCAAGTCGGAGTGAGCTTCCGACCAGTTTGTGTAGCTTGGTGTTGAACTTTGCAGCCCAAAAGACAGTTGCATCTGTCAAGTAGGAAATTTAGGTACTGCTTATGCGGGGAAGCTAATTTAACTAATTTACAAGGCCATAAAAATCTCCAGTAAACATGCAAAGAATGAGGAAGTACTTCATCAGTGTCACAAATGAACGGTGAAGCAACAGCTCCCCTGGTGGCAGGAATACCCTTATGAAAAAGCTGAAATGTTAAATAGCCTCTGTGTGCCTGTTTATATATGTTGTGTGTCTATGGCATTGAATGTTTGCCATGTATATGTACATTATAATCCGCCCCGAGTCCCCTGTGGGGTGAGAAGGGCGGAATATAAATACTGTAAATAAATAATAAATAAATAATGGTTATCAGTGATGTCAATGCTCCATGTCAACCATACTCAGTGGAGTCTGGGGCTTCTTTCCTCTACACATCCCTCCCTATAAATATAGGGGATAATTTGGCTGATTTCATGTGAGTCTCCAGAAACAAGGAATTAAGAGTGGGGTGGGGGGTTGGTGAGCCAGAACTATTTCCCCCTTTGTTTAACCTTAATTTTGATGTCTATTTGGCTTGGGTTCCTGTTGAGGTGGCAAAGCCACCTCTCGACATGTGTTGGAGAACTTACCTGACCAAGGGAAGGAACTGTGATCATAGCACCCTCCCTATTCAAAGTGATTTGAAAACTAAGAAGACAGGGTGGTCCTATTATTTTCTTCCTCATTGAACAATCTGGTCTGGTGGCGTGTTTGGTTCCAATAATTGTTTTCAAATATTGCCTCTATGTTCACAGGGATTCTTTTGTAAAGAAGAAACAGACTTTGATAACTGGTGTAGCCTTGTGCAAAAGGTAAGTGGTAGGAAATCTCTTATAATATATATGTGCATGCTGCGCCTGACTGTACACTTCAGTTGCAGACTGGGATGTATAGAATATTAGTCTTAGAGGCATTATTTTATTGGTTCTTTTCTATTTAGGAAGCCATTTGCTTGTAGTCTTGTGGTAAAAGCAGCCTGAATGTGTAGCCAGCTGATATACGGCTTACTTAGCACTGTGATGCCTGCCACAGATTCATCAATATGTGCATCTTACTCATAAGAGTGTAAGTGCACAAAGAGTGTAAGTGCACAAAGTGCACACACACAAACACATAATCCTACCATCTCCTAACATCCCAGGCACTCATCCAGAGACACCTTGCCTCATATAATGGCAATGTCCAATGAGTCCTGCCAGTGAGACAGAACTGTCCAAAGGCAGCCCAAGGAACTTTGGCGGCCATGCCATCATCCCATTTTGACCCAAATGGCCTCTAGCCTACCGAAAGGCTCCCACGGACCCTACGGCCGTTGGCTTTCGCCATCTTGGAAATTCCTTTCTATGCAGGAAAGAGAATGATGGTGCTGGAGAAGTGGTTGTGGGGAACATGATTCCTGAAGAATTAAATTTTCTGGAACATATTTTGCTTTGTTTATAGCATACCTTTTCTCCCAGTTTCTGCCTTATCAGTAGGGCTTATTATCAGTAGGTGGCGCAATGGGTTAAACCCTTGTGCCAGCAGAACTGCAGACCAAAAGGTTGGTGGCTCGAATCTGGGAAGCGGGATGAGCTCCTGCCCGTCAGCTCTAGCATCCCATGCGAGGACATGAAAAAAGCCTCTCACAGGATGGTAACACATCTAGGCGTCCCCTGGGCAATGTCCTTGCAGAAGATCAATTCTCTCACACCAGAAGCAACTTGCAGTTTCTCAAGTTGCTCCACACACACACAAAAGTAGGGCTCTTCCTCTGGTTTAGTGACTTATCTTAAAATGTGCACATCTGTATAAATAGAGGGGAAAGGGGATATAAATCAGGATAAGGAATGAGAAAGTGGCCTGGAAAAAAATGGAGAAGAGCAATCTTAACAGATTAGAGAGATGGGCCAAAACGAACAAAATGGAGTTCAACAGGGACAAATGCAAGATACTCCACTTAGGCAGAAAAAATGAAATGCAGAGATACAGAATGGGGGACGCATGACTTGAGAGCAGTACGTGTGAAAAAGATCTTGGAGTCCTCGTGGACAACAAGTTAAACATGAGCCAACAATGTGATGTGGCGGCAAAAAAAGCCAATGGGATTTTGTCCTGCATCAATAGGAGTAAAGTGTCTAGATCCAGGGAAGTCATGCTATCCATGCTCTATTCTGCCTTGGTTAGACCACACCTGGAATATTGTGTCCAATTCTGGGCACCACAATTGAAGGGAGATGTTGACAAGCTGGAATGTGTCCAGAGGAGGGCGACTAAAATGATCAAGGGTCTGGAGAACAAGCCCTATGAGGAGCGGCTTAAAGAGTTGGGCATGTTTAGCCTGAAGAAGAGAAGGCTGAGAGGAGACATGATAGCCATGTATAAGTATGTGAGAAGAAGTCATAGGGAGGAGGGAGCAAGCTTGTTTTCTGCTGCCCTGGAGACTAGGACGCAATGGAACAATGACTTCAAGCTACAAGAAAGGAGATTTCATCTGAACATTAGGAAGAACTGTTGAAGCTGTTTGCAATTTATAATGTATATTTCAAAGTATTCCTGTATGTTTAAAATGCAGTAGCTATGTGCCGAGTGTAATGTATTTCTGTGTGGAAAGAGTTAACTGAACCATGGAGGGAACGGCATTCCTAGAGAGGTCATAAATCAAGTGTGTAGAACAAATGGACGCTCATACATCACTCTGGAATGCAGGAGGTGTGGACTAGTACTGATAACAGTGGAAGCGTTCGGTTCATGATGTTACAATCAGATGGTAAAGAAGCAAGTTTACGATGTGCTGAGTGTTAAGTAGTTTCTAATGTATATAGCTGTAAAATAAAGTAGTTTATAGCCTAGGTTGCTGTGATTGATCTGTTCCTGTCTTGCTGTGCTGCTGATGTCACTGACAAGAACTTCATGTGAGAACTGTTCAACAGTGGAACTCTCTGCCCCGAAGTGTGGTAGAGGCTCCTTCTTTGGAAGCTTTTAAACAGAGGCTGGATGGCCATCTGTTGGGGTGCTTTGAATGCAGTTTTCCTGCTTCTTGGCAGGGGGTTGGACTGGATGGTCCATGAGGTCTCTTCCAACTCTGTGATTCTATGAATTCAACCTGCTTCTAATAGGGATTCAGCATGAAGGCAGTGATAAGAAACTATTCTTTGAAGCCACCCCTTTCTTGCACAAAACAGAGAAAAATGGCCCTCCCTCCTTTTTTTTCCTCCTTCCCTTCATTTCCAGCCAAACAATGTTCCAAAGCAACATGGAGAACCCAAAGAATATGGTCCGCCATTTTTGTTCTCTCGAGGCAGAGTGGAAGCCATCATTTGTAATAAGGTTTTCTGATATAAGCCTTGCAGGACTTTGCAGTCTCTCTACAGAGAGGCTTACACAGTATGCACCTACTAAAAATGGCCACCACAGTGTCTCTCAGAGTGTTTATTTGTTTCATTTCCCAAGGACCCTTTTACAAATGAAACGTTTTCCTTTTCAGGAGATACATAAACAGCAGAGTCTGCGAATGTTTGAGCTGGTTCAGAAGCACCCACCACACTGGCCTCCTTTTGTACCGCCTACGAAGCCAGAAGTGACAACTACCGGTGCAGGTACGGGACTGCTCCTTACGAGGTGGCATTTTCTTCTCCTTTCCAATGGAAGTACTGTATTTCATCGCATAATAGTCAACACCTTTTTCTCTGAAAAAAGAGGGGGTGTGACCATTATCAAAACAATTTTCTGTTAAATCAATTTTAAGAAAATATAGTGTCCAGACAACTATGTAAGTTTAACATTTTCATCCTCTTTGCCAGAAGGGTCTGTGCCAGTGTCATTGCTTGTATGCTCATGACAAATGTTTTCTCCTCCCTATCACTCTCCCACAGTGCATCATGTTCTGATCCATCCAGTGCATTAAAATGCCAGTTTTTAAAATACCTTTGACAACAATGTCCTCTATGCTAAGGTCCTGTCTCTTAATGTCCCAGGTGCGCATACATTTTAAAGATGAGCGCTTCACATTTCCAGCAGGTATCAGTTGTTGATCCGCAAAATTTATAGAAATTTATAGACATTTGTCCGCCTGTCTTCCCAAGTGATTTGTAGGATTTTTCGGAAGCAGTGTTGATGGAATCGTTCCAGGGATTGAATTTGATGTCTGTAGACAGTCCACGTTTCACAGGCCTATAGCAGAGTTGGGAGGACAATCTATATAAATAAAAATGTAATGTTCGTCCTTGCAGACGGCCAATTCTCTCACACCAGAAGCGACTTGCAGTTTCTCAATTCTCTCCTGACACGACCATATATATATATATATATATATATATATATATATATACACACACACACACACACACACACACATACACACACACACACACACACACACACATACACACAATGTATAAGTTTCATATAATCTTTACATCTTTCTCTCCTTCTTTCTTTCTCTCCTTCCTTCACTCCCTCTTTCCTTCCTTCCCTTTTTTCTTTCCCTTCTTCTTTCTTCCTTCTCTACCTGTTTCTTTTCTCTTCCTTTGCTCTTTGGTTCCATCCTTCCTTGTCTCTTTTCTTCCTTCCTTCCCTCCCTCTTTCTCTCTTTCGTTCCTTCTCTCCTTCCTTCCCCTTTCACTTTTTTATTTCCTTCTCTCCTTCCTTCTTCTTTCCTTCCTTCTCTCCTTCCCTCCTCCTTTCTCTTCTCTCCCTCTTTCCCCCCTCCTTCTCTACTTCCTTCCTTCTCTACCCTTCTTTCTTTCCTTCCTTCTCTCCCTCCTTCTCTTTCCTTCTCTACCCTTTTTTCTTTACTTCTTTCTCTCCCACCTTCTCTCCTTCCTTCCCCCTTTCTGTGTATATGTTTTGTGTATGTGTGTGTATATATGTGTTTGCGTATATATGTGGTTTTGTGCATGCGTTGTAATGCAATTTTTTGGTTTTTTTTTTTTTTTTGCTTTTTAAGTCCCTTCTTCTGTGTTTTTCAGTGTGTTGTTATGAGTTAAAAACACACTGAAAAACACAGAGGAAAGGACTTAAAATGAATGATGGTCACTCGTTGGCCTGATAGGTGTCTTGTGCCCAAATTTGGTGTCAATTTGTCTGGTGGTTTTTGAGTTATGTTAATTCCACAAACAAACAAACATTACATTTTTATTTATTTATTTAAAAGTTTTGTATACCGGCCTTCTCACCTCTCTTGAGGGACTCAGACCGGTTTCCAACCATAATATCACATACAATCAATAAAACATCATAATACATATTACAGTAAAACATTAAAACAGCAATTACAATCAATAACTATAATGGTCAGTCGTCACATTAAAATAGTTGCTCATCATCCTCCATCCATATCTCAGGGTGTTGGCTCACTCGTCGAATGCCTGTCTCCATAACCAAGTCTTCACCTGTTTCCTAAATGTCAGGATAGAAGGGGCGGTTCTGATCTCCAGTGGGAGAGAGTTCCAGAGTCGAGGGGCCACCACCGAGAAGGCCCTGTCCCTCGTCCCCACCAGACGCGCTTGCGAGGCCGGTGGGACCGAGAGCAGGGCCTCTCCAGACGATCTTAATAATCTTGATGGTTCATAGGGGAGAATACGTTCGGAGAGGTAAACAGGGCCGGAGTCATTTAGGGCTTTATAGGTTAACACCAGCACTTTGAATTGTGCTCGGAAGCTAATTGGCAGCCAGTGGAGCTGGTGTAACAGCGGAGTGGTGTGCTCCCTGTACCCAGCACCCGTTAGTAGTCTGGCTGCTGAGCGTTGGACTAGCTGCAGCTTCCGGGCAGAGAGAGGGGTGGGGGTGGGAGGGAGTTCACCTACAAGCAAAGAGCATTCTGAACCCCTCCACCAATAGAATTGGGCCAAACTTCCCACACAAAATCCTCATGGCCAACAGAAAAAACCGTTTTCTGATGGTCTTTAGCGACCCCTCAGACACTGCATTACACCATAAAGCTGTACTGTATTTCTGGCATTGCAGAGGGATTGGCTGGTGATTGCTGGAAGAGCAGTTTGGTTTTCTACATAGGGGTCCATATGATGAAGTTTATGGGTTTCTGCAAAAAGATATATATAGGGCCTTGTCATGAAACCTTCTCTTTCCCTTCCTTTCCACAGAGCTTATTGAATCCACCGATAAACTGTTTGAGTTGGAAGAAGAGTTTGAGATCCTGAGCGTATGAAGGGCACCTCCGCTGACCTTTTGGCACGCAACCCGTGTCGTGTGTAGCATTTTGCCAGTGACTGAGACCACACATAGCCTTTCCAGCCCCCAAGTGCCTGCATACGAACAGTGACGACACAGCACAAGACCTGAACAGTACCTCGAAGGGGGGAGAACCCTTCGGGAAGCGAAAAAATCCTGGCTCCGGCTTGTGCATTTCCCCCCCAGAAATATATATATTTTTTTCCGAAGTAAATGAGACTTTTTGGGGGGAGATGAAAGCAAAAAAAAAAAAAAAAAGATATTGAAGTAAAGACTCTACTGAGAATCGCCTCAAAGGCATCGACCTTTGGACGGTTGTTATTCCTCGATGTAGTATATAATGCAATAGTTCTGCTCACGCTGAAAACATGTTGTCGAGGCGAAGAAGCGTGTGGCCTCTGGTCCCTTTGCGTGGGCAGTTCCCTAGGAATAAATGTCTTTGTCTCGTCTTAAAAGCTCAGTTAGATCAGGCAAAAAATTAATAATAATGGTTTTGTAAAAGGTTTTCACATTTGTGCGGCCACCACACTTCCGGAACCAAGAAGCCCAGCCGTTTCTATGAAAGGAACTCCTTTAATGATGCAACGTTGCCTCCTGTTTCTAGGAGATACGCAAATGAATGGGGGACATGGAGGACTGCCCCCGAATTTCCCCATCTTTTTCTTCCACCTCTGGGAAAAGAAGGCGCATCACACAATAAGCCTGAAACAGGATGCCTCACTCTTTCTCATGACATCGTTCACCCTGCCCTTAATAGTTCCAATCATTATTAAAACTCACTTTGGTTTTGCTTCTAAGTTAAAAAAAAGAGAAAAAATACTTTTGTTATAATTGTATATTATTTATTTTAAATTAAACATTTACAGTTTTCTCCCTACTTGTGTAAGAGCACTTTATGTGTGCATCTAATAAATTTCTTAAAAATATGTCAACATGGGTTTTTGTGCATTATCAGAACCATTCTAACAATCCAAGGAGGTTATCGGTCTCGAAATGAAAACTGCCTCCTTCACTGGACCGTAGATTGTCGTATAATCCAGTTAATCTGCATTCTGAAACTGGATTATATGATCGTGTGGATCCAGCCTGATTCTCACACTTCTCTTGCTGTCACATTGTCATCGTCACATTTCAACAAAGTTTATAATGGATCTACCAATCTCCAAAATGTATTGCCGAAGGCTTTCATGGCCGGAATCACTGGGTTGTTGTAGGTTTTTTCGGGCTATGTGGCCATGTTCTAGCGGCATTCTCTCCTGACGTTTCGCCTGCATCTATGGCAAGCACCCTCAGAGAGAATGCCTCTAGAACAGTGGTTCTCAACCTGGGGTCCCCAGATGTTTTTTGGCCTACAATTCCCAGAAATCCCAGCCAGTTTACCAGCTGTTAGGATTTCTGGGAGTTGAAGGCCAAAAACATCTGGGGACCCCAGGTTGAGAACCACTGCTCTAGAACATGGCCATATAGCCCTAAAAAACCTACAACAAGCCGATCTACCAAAACTCGGGCTTCCTGTTTAATAAAGATTTTAATAATATGTATAATGGGTTGCTGTGAGTCTTCCGAGCTGTCTAACCATGTTCCAGAAGCATTCTCTCCTGATGTTCTCCCCACATCTATGGCAGACATCCTCAGAGTTTGTGAGGTCTGTTGGAAAATAGGCAAGTGAAGTTTATATATCTGTGGAATAATGTCCAAGGTGGGAGAAAGAACTATTGTACACTTGAGGCAAGTGTGAATATTGCAATTGGCCAGCTTGATTAGCACGGAATAGCTTTGCAGCTTCAAAGCCTGGCTGCAAGACTAGGCAAGTGAGGTTTACGTATCTGCGGAACAATGTCAAGGGTGGGAGAAAGAACTCTTGTCTAAGAGTTCTTTCTCCCACCCTGGACATTTTTCCGCAGATACGTAAACCTCACTTGCCTAGTTTCCAACAGACGTCACAACCTCTAAGGAAGCCTGCCATAGATGTGGGCAAAACATCAGGAGAGAATGCTTCTGGAGCAAGTTGCAATTTGCCAGCTTCATTAGCACTGAATAGCCTTCTGGCTTCAAAGCCTGGTTTCTTCCTGCCCTGGGGAAATCCTTTGTTGGGAAGTGTTGGCTGACCCTGATTGTTTCCTGTCTGCAATTCCCCTGGTTTCTGAGTATTGTTCTTTATTTAATGTTCTGATTTTAGAGTTTTTAAATACTGGTAGCCAGAAGCTTGGCAGTTCGAATGCAGGCAGCAGGGTGAGCTCCCGCTGTTAGCCCCAGCTTCTGCCAATATAGCAGTTCGAAAAAATGCAAATGTGAGTAGATCAATAGGTATGGCTTTGGTGGGAAGGTGACGGTACTCCATGCAGTCATGCTGGCCACATGATCTTGGAGGTGTCTACGGACAACGCCGGCTCTTCAGCTTTGAAATGGAGATGAGCACCAACCCCCAGTCGGACACAACTAGACTTAATTTCAAGGGGAAACCTTTACCTAGATTGTGTTCATTTTCATGGTTTCCTCCTTTCTGTTGAAACTGTCCACATGCTTGTGGATTTCAATGGCTTCTCTGTGTATAATGGCTTTACTAAATATCTTATACAAAAAGGCTCCGCCAGCTTAGTATGTGAGAACAAATAGAATATAAATCACAAACGTGGTGTACCGATCTTTTATGGCTTTTTGGGGGGGGAGAAAATAACAGTGGAAATATGTTCTGTAAAATGTTTTTGACAGTGCATTACAAAAATAATTCTCCTGCCTCAGACTAGAAGTAAAAACAAACAAACAAAAACCAAGCACCTCATTGTTTCGGCAGTAAATCTAATGACTACTGGATGTAACGTCAACATAATACTAAGCTATTTAATAGTCTATCAAGCACCAGGTGTTTCAAGGCTACCTCTGAGAGACAAGGGCAGAATATTAACATGTGAATATTACAGGCTGAGAATCTGCACATTTGTTGGGCACAACTTGGTAAACAATATTTTAACATTTCTTATTTTACATACAGTGCACACCAGGTTTGTCCTACCCTTAGAAATGTACAACTTCCAGAAGCCTCAGAGAAGCAATGGGACTTCTGTCTTGGGAATCAAAAGTTTTCATTCAGGGCTCAGAAAGTTGCAAAGCGGGGAGTTAAACTTCTCCAGTGTCTAATTCAAGCCTCTTAGAAATGGTTATCGAATCTGAAATTTCAAACGCCAACAATCTGCTTGGTATGTTGATAAGACTTTCATGGCCGGAATCATTGGGTTGCTGTGAGTTTTCTGGGTTGTATGGCCATGTTCCAGAAGCATTCTCTCCTGACGTTTTGCTTGCATGTATGGCAGGCATGCTCAGAGATTGTGAGGTCTGTTGGAAACTAGGCAAGTGGGGTTAATATATCAGTGGAATGTCCAGGTTGTGAGAAAGAACTCTTGTCTGTCTTGCAGCCAGGCTTTGAAGCTGCTAGGCTATTCAATACTGAACAAGGTGTCCGATTGCAACATTCGCATTTGCCTCAAGCAGACAAGAGTTCTTTCCCCCACCTTGGACATCATTCCGCAGATATATAAACCTCACTTGCCTAGTCTCCAACAGACCCCTCAACCTCTGAGGATGCCTGCCATAGATGTGGAAGAAATGTCAGGAGATAATGCTTCTGGAACATGGCCATGCAAACCGGAAAACTCACAGCAGCCCAATCTGCTTGGTATTTTCAGCTGAGAAAGCTAGAAAGATAGGCGAAGTCTCAAAAAATTCTGTGGTCTTATCTCAGGAGTTCAACTACGGCATTTACTTAGTATAAGTTCTCTACTCCAGAGAAATGCCATACCCACATGATGTCAGGTTATTATTAAATAGCTTGATAAAGTCTAGACCAGGCATGGGCAAACCTTCTAACTTGGGAGCTGAATGCTAGCATTCCCTGATAGGAGGACTGGCTGCCCGGTGATGGAAGGAAGGAAGGGAAGGAGGAAGAAAACAGAGAAGGAAGGAAGGAAGGGCGAAAGGGAAGGATGGAAAAGGGGAAAGAGGAAGGAAGGAAAAGGAAAAAGGGAAGGAAAAAAGGAGAAAGGAAGGAAGGAGGAAGAAGGAAAAGGAAGAAGGGAAGGAGAGAGAGGGAAGGAGGGAGGGAAGAGGAAGGAGAGAGGGAAGGAGGGAGGAAAGAGGGAAGGAAAGAAGGAGAAGAGAAGGAAGAAGGAAGGGAAGAAAAGGAAAGAAGAAAGAAGATAAAAAGGAAGGAGGGAAGAAGGAGAAAGAGGGAAGGGAAGGGAAGACGGAAGGATGGAAGGAGAAAGAGGGAAGGAAGGAGGAAGGGAGGAAGGAAAGGAAGGAGGAAGAAAACAAGAAGGGGAAGGGAAGGGAAGGAAGGAGAAAGGGAAGGAAGGGAAGGAAGAGAGAAAAGGAAGGAAGGAAGGGAAGGAAGGAAGGAAGGAAGGAAGGAAGGAGAAAGGAGATAGCAAGGAAAGGGAAGGAAGGATGGGTGGAAGGGAAGGATGGAAGGATAAAGAGGGAAGGAAGGAAGGGAACGAGGCAAGGAAGGAAAGAGAAAAGGAAGGAAAGACAAAAGGGAGGGAAGGAAGGACGAAAGGGTGGAAGGAAAAGGAAGGAGGAAGGAAAGAGAGAAGGGAGGAAAGACAAAAGGGAGGGAAGGAAGGACGAAATGGTGTACGGGAAGGTAGGAAGGGAAGGGAAGGAAAGGAGGAAGGAAAGAGAGAAGGAAGGAAAGATGAAAGGCTGGAAGGGAAGGAGAAAGAGGAAGGGAAGGAAGGAGAGAAGGAGGGATAGGATGGTGAGAGAGAGGAGGGCCTGAGAAAAGAGCCCAAGGGGCCACATTTAGCCCCTAGGCCTTGGTTTGCCCATAACTGGACTCTAGACAATACCTATGTCACAGTTTGCACATTCGTTGAGTCACAAATCAAGGTTTCTTGTATAACCCACTTGCTGGTTGCAAATGATTAGAATTGCATGATGTAGAAAATATTCCAAAGGAAGAAAAAGCAGCCCTTTAAGCACATGGGAGTAATACTTACCCCACAAGCGGTATCTAAGTCAGTTTCAGAGAACATTAAAGCAGGTAAATTGTCTCAGAAAGTACAAGATAAGAAATTTTTTAAAATACAAGGAATGCAGAGAGCTTGTGAAAGCAAATCAAGGCACAAAAAGTGATCTTAAAAAATTGGAGTCTTCATCCCAAATTCATCCTGGGCACGTTCAAACGTAGCATCTTAAAATATATATACTAAAATTGCATGAAGCTAATGCTGGCAGAGTCAAACCACTCATTTCCCCTTGGTTTACAATGGCTGTGTCATATAAAAATGGCATGTGATGGGACTTGGACTTGACTCCAGCATCCATGGAACCAAACGTTCTCATGTACTTACTTACTGCACTATTTTTTCTTAGCTTCAGTTACATCTGAATTTTTTTTTTGCAAATGTCTCAATCCATAAAGTCCTAAAGGGTGATAGGTATGAGAGACTAACATTCTCCCAAAGTCAGGTGATTGTATTAAACGTGGTTCGGCGTGTTAAAAAGAGGACAAAGGTGGCACCCCGGAAGGCAGAGAAAAGACTCTGAGGTAGCCATGAATACAAAAACGAGAGAAGGGGAAAACGTATAGCACCATGTTCTGTGATGATAGATAAAAGGATTCTGGCCTTCCAATAAAGAAGACCCCAAAGTCCCGGGGGGAGGAGGGTGGGCTTCGGCTGGGTTCGGGTCCTTGGCTACAAGTTCTTCATGCAGACCTGGCAGCGGCTCACCCGCATCCGGAGCTGCCCGGCCTTCAGCGTCTCCGAGATGGGAGCTTCCACAAATTGTTGGGTTGGTTCCACAGTTGTCAGCCAGAAACTGTACTTGTTGGAGAAGTAGTGGCAGGTGCCCCGGGCCCCGTTGCACTCGATGAAAGGGGTGGCGCGGAAATCCTCCAAACAGGACCCCGGGGAGACCAGCGACTGGCCGCCCCCCTCGGCTCCAGCTGCCGTGTGCTGGAAAAGCAATGGGTCAAAATCGCCATCAATGTCAGGATTGATACCAGCACACAGAATGGACACCAATGAGGCACACAACCCTGGTGTCCCACTTTTCCCATTAATTCCAGCAGTATCCCATTATACAATTTATAAAGTCAATGGTTATGTTAACCATTGTTTATGTCGCTATTATACCCCATCTAAAGCAGTGTTTCTCAACCTTCCTAATGCCGAAACCCTTAATACAGTTCCTCATGTTGTGGTAACCTCCAACCAGAAAATTATTTTCGTTGCTACTTCATAACTGTAATTATTATTATTATTTAAAACACCACAAGATGTATCCACAGCAGTCACTCTGTTGGCTGTTGTATTGGATCACACGTCCGACACTTCCCAAGTGTCTAGGACTGTGTGATGTATTGGCGAATAATGTGTGCAGATCCCAGTAAGGTGACCTTTTGCAGCTGGCAGATGGTAATATTGTCAGCGCTGATTGTGTTTAAGTGCAGGCCAAGGTCTTTAGGCACTGCACCCAGTGTGTCGATCACCGCTGGGACCACCTTGACTGGCTTGTGCCAGAGTCTTTGTAGTTCGATCTTTAAATCCTCATATCGTGTCATCTTTTCCAGTTGTTATTAATTATTATTATTATTATTATTATTATTATTATTATTATTAATTGCCATTTTTAGTAGGATGGCAGAAGTATCTGGAACTGTGGACAAAGGAGGAAACCTGGGAAGTGCTCTGTCCTCAGTCCCCATGCAGTTGACCACCCTTGCTTTAATGGAATGCAACTATACGAGAACAAATTGACTATGGCCCCAGGGTAACAGCACGTGCCCCTCCGTCCCCGCATATGCTTACCATCAGGAAGGAGTAGCCAATCCAGAGGCTGCGCCAACCTTCGGGACACTGGGGGATGTTGCTGCCTTGGCTGTGGACGGCCACCGCTTGGGAAGGGGCCTCACAGACGGAGCAGCGGCTGATGTACTGGGCGATCTGGAAGCTGCCGACGGGCATCATGGGGATGGGAGCCGTGGTGGAGAGCCAGTAGGACTTGTCGTTGCGGCTGGCGTAGTAGCAGACCGCGTTGATGTTGCAGTACATGAAGGGCATCGTGCTGAAGCGGGGCAGGCAGGAGCCAGCAAAGCCTTGGGGAACGAAACAGCAAGGTCAGTGCCTACCTACCATTCTAATTTACAAGACCAAACTTGGCACGAATATTCCATATGCCCAACTAGGAACACAGATGGGGTTTGGGGAAAATAGACCTTGACACTTGGGAGTTGTAGTTACTGGGATTTATAGTTCACCTATAATCAAAGAGCATTCTGAACACCACTAACGATGGAATTGAGCCAAACTTGGCACACAGAACTATCACCAAGAGAAAAAAACTGGGAGGGTCTGGTGGACATTGACCTTGATTTTTTTGAGTTGTAGTTCACCAGAAAGCAGTGTGGACTCAAACAATGATGGATCTGGACCAAACTTGACATGAATACTCAATAAGCCCAAATGTGAACACTGGTGGGGTTTGGGGAAAGTAGATCTTGCCATTTGGGAGTTGTAGTTGCTGGGATTTATAGTTCACCCACAATGAAATAACATTTTGAACCCCACCAATGATAGAATTGGGCCAAACTTCCTGCACAGAACCCCCATGATCAAAAGAAAATACTATGTTTTCAGATGGCCTTTGGCGACCCCTCTGACATCCCCTTGCGACCCCCACAGGGATCTTGACCCCCAGGTTGAGCAACACTGGTTTATATGTTATTGAACCCCTGGTGACAGTGGGTTAAACCACTGAGCTGCTGAACTTGCTGACCAAAAGGTCGATGGTTCGAATCCGGTGAACAGGGTGAGCTCCCATTGTCAGGTCCATCTTCGGCCAACTTAGCAGTTCATAAACATGCAAATGTGAGTAGATCAATACGTACTGCTTCTGCGGGAAGGTAACAACGCTCCATGCAGTCATGCTGGCCACATGACCTTGGAGGTGTCTATGGACAATGCCAACTCTTCAGCATAGAAATGGAGATAAGCACCAGCCCCCAGAGTCGGACACAACTAGACTTAATGTCAAAGGGAAACCTTTACTTTTTTTCTATGTTATTTTGGCTTGTAATTCTTGTTTATGCTAGGCTTGGTCCCCATGTAAGCTGCCCCGAGTCCCTTCAGGGAGATGGTGGCGGGATATAAAAATAAAGTTATTATAATATTACTATTGTAAACTTATGGGCCACGGTATTACAGCGGTTTAAAATTACTAGCTGCTGACCAGAGAGTCGACAATTCAAGCCACAAGTTGGGGTGAGCTCTCGACTGTCAGTCCCAGCTCCCTGCCTACCTAGTAGATCAATGCAAGTAGATCAATAGGTACTGGAAGGTTAAAGGGCACACCATGCAGATATGTAGACATGCCGGCAAAGATCAGAGAAGGCTACGGCCAAGCGGGCTACTTTGGCATGGAAAAATGGAACAACAGCACCTCGACATGGCCAGAAGTTGAATATCACCTCCAGATGCCGGAAATGGAAAAAAGGGGAAAACCTTTATCTTATTTGTGTACTGTATGTTGTTATTCATGTTAAAAGGCATTGAATGTTTGCCTTATATGTACTGTAATCCGTTCCGAGTCCCTCCGGGGAGATAAAGCGGAACATAAATAAAGTGCATCTTCATCTATTGATTTTATAAGCTGCCCTTCTCACCCCAAATGTGCTCAGAGCATCTTACAAGTTAAATGTACATAAAATATATTATATTACTAGCTGTCTCCTGCCATGCATTGCTGTGGCCGTCTGTGTATATGTGTTTTGTGTGTGTATATATTTGCGTAGATATGTGTGTGTGTTTTCATTTATATGTGTGTGTGTGTGGTTTTGTGCATGCGTTGTAATTTTTTGTTTGTTTTTTCGCTTTTTAAGACTCTTGTGGTGTGTTTTTCAGTGTTTTTATGAATGATGGACACTCATTGGCCTGATAGGTGTTTTGTGTCCAAATTTGGTGTCAATTCGCCCAGTGGTTTTTGAGTTATGTTAATCCCACAAACGAACATTACATTTTTATTTATATAGATTAGCATAGCACAATATTAGTATTATATATTACTATATTGTACTATACCACTATATTGCAATATTATTAGTAATATTACATGTAATATGAAATATAAAACTATTATATTGTATTATTATTATATTGTAAAATTATTATATTGTACTACATTATAATATTATCAATTTTATATATGTACACAATATATTATATTATTAGCACAGCACAATATTAGTATTATATTTTACTTTATTGTTGCTGGTGGGATGGGCTTACTATTCTATAATATATTAATTGTTGTTGTTGTTTGCAAGTTAATGTCCCATCCCTGTTTAGTGCAACACAACAGTTTGAGCATAATCTTTCTGTTCTTTTGTCATAGAATCATAGAATCAAAGAATTGGAAGAGACCTCGTGGGCCATCCAGTCCAACCCCCTACCAAGAAGCAGGAATATTGCATTCAAAGCACCCCTGACAGATGGCCATCCAGCCTCTGCTTAAAAGCTTCCAAAGAAGGAGCCTCCAGTACACTCCAGGGCAGAGAGTTCCACTGCTGAACGGCTCTCACAGTCAGGAAGTTCTTCCTCATGTTCAGATGTCATGCAGTTGGTACATGGCACCATCCACCCACATATCCACTCACCCAGGTCTTGGTTGTGGGCCTTCTCCTGGCCCTCCACATACAGCAAGCTGTATCCTTCCCAGAGCTTGCTCATCCCCACAGGGCATGGAGGGATCTGCTCCGACTGGCTGTGTTTCACCAAGGTGTAGCCCACGCCAATGCTGCGCCCCGGCATCCCTGGTAATCCCGGAGGCCCTGGCCTCCCAGGTGAACCTGGGCAGAAAGAAAGGGAGGGAGGGAGAGAGAAAGAGAGGAAGGAAGAGACACATTGGATGCCAGCTGTTATGGATGCACAGTGAGACCCCCGTAACCACAGAACCCATATCCATGGGGGAATTGTCTCTCTAGAACTTAGCTGGGTCCTCCAGGCTCTCATGTCCCCCCTTAACATTATCTCCTCCCAGCTAAATAATAAATCAGTCTGGGTTGTTGTAGGTTTTTCGGGCTATATGGCCATGTTCTAGAGGCATTCTCTCCTGATGTTTCGCCTGCATCTATGGCAAACTTCCTCAGAGGTAGTGAGGTTTGTTGGAACTAGGAAAATGGGTTTATATATCTGTGGAATGACCAGGGTGAGACAAAGGACTCTTGTCTGCTGGAGCTAGGTGTGAATGTTTCAACTGACCACCTTGATTAGCATATAATGGCCTGACAGTGCCTGGAGCAAACTTTTGTTGAGAGGTGATTAGATGTCCTTGATTGTGGACAATTTAACAGAAAGGAGGAAACCATGAAAATGAACAAAATCTGGCTACCAGTATTATTAAAAAAAAAAAAACAACTCTAAAACAACAACAGCAAAACACCTCTCAACAAAAGATTGCCCCATGTACTGCCAGGCCATCAAATGCTAATCAAGGTGGTCAGTTGAAACCTAGCTCCAACAGACAAGAGTTCTTTGTCCCACCTTGGTCATTACAATACAATAAATCAGTCTCTTTAATCTGCTCCTCATAAGAATTCATAGCTTCCAGACATTTGACCATTTTGGTTGCCCATCTCTGGACACCCTCCATCTTGTCAATATCCTTCTTGAATTGCTTTTCCCAGAACTGGAGACCAAAAGCAGAATAGTGGGGTTCAATGTCTTGTCAAAGGCTTTCTTGGCTGGAATCACTGGTTGTGAGGACCTCTGAGCATCTCTGAGGATGCTTGCCATAGATGCAGGTGAAACGTCAGGAGAGAATACTTCTAGAACATGGCCATATAGCCTGAAAAACCTACAACAACCCAGAATAGAGTGGGTCTATGATTTTTCTTTATCTATACTCCTGCATCACACTATCTCATGTTCTACTTGTGGTCCACTAAGACCTCTAGATCCCTTTCACATGGTCTGTTTTCAAGCCAGATGTCACCCATCCTATATCTGTGCATTGCATTTTTATTCCCAAAGTGTGGAAGTCAAGGATGTTAGTGGAATCGAAGTGTCATAATTGCCTAATAGGAAGGAGTCAGATATGACCCAACTCTCCCCTCATCCACATTAAAAGAAAACCCTCATTGGTCCTAAAATAAGCTTGGGGCACACCTATATTGTAAAACGTAGCAATATCCATGTATTTACCTTCAAAGCCCAGGGGTCCAAGGTTGCCTGGAGAACCTGGGTCACCAACCGGGCCAGGTGAACCGGGGAAGCCATTGGTACCCATTTGGCCAGGTCTACCTGGCATCCCTTTGGGACCTGGAATAGGGAGACATATTGATACGTCAATTGAATACTTTACTATCACAAGTAACAAGAGGCCCTGCATTACAAGTAACAAGAGGCCCTGCATTTCATTTCCCATAATTGGAGGCATCATCATCACCATCATGTTCGATCCACCTCTCCCCAAGGATCGAAGTGGATTTCAACAGTTTTAAACCATTATTCTAACCTTCTTCAATGTGAATGTGCTTACGTAACCTTCCAATAATAATAAAGAGAGTAAAATAATAAATGTACTAATAATAGAGTAAAATAACGCAAATGTAATAATAACAGTAGTAACAGAGTAAAATAAAAATGTAATAATGACAATAATAAATAGAGTAAAATAATAAATGTAATAATAAAAAAGTAAAATAATGCAAATGTAATTATAACAGTCGTAATAGAGTAAAATAAAAATGTAATAATGACAATAATAGAGTAAAATAATAAATGCAATAATAATAGAGTAAAATAATGTAAATGTAATAATAATAAAAAAAAATAGAGTAAAATAATAAATGTCATAAAAGTAATAATAATAACAGAGTAAAATAATAAATAACTTTGACTCGAGTATAAGCCAAAGGGGGCTTTTTCAGCCTTAAAAAAGGCTGAAAAACTCGGCTTGGCTTATACTTGAATATATATGGTAAATCAATCCAAGGAAACATCTACACGGTAGAATTAATGCAATCTGGCACCACTTTAACTGCCATGCCACAATGCTACGGGTTCCTAAGATTTGTCGCTGTTACCCTACCAAACTACAACTCCCAGGATTTCACAGCACTTAAAGTGGAGGCAAAGTGCAAGATAGATGCACCTGTGACTACAAAAGAGCAATTTAAAATTCGTTAGTTAATACTTGCTGGTTAGAAAATGCACATATAAAGCAATTAAAAACCAAAGGAACTCAATAAACAATCCCTAGGTTCACAAAAGCAACAAAATTAAACTCCTATTGACTATCTGAAGCCAACTCAGCTTCCGGAAGGTGTTGTTGTTACCTTGCTGGCCGATGGCCCCCTGGAATCCTGGATCTCCATTTAACCCTGGGTTGCCATCGATCCCTGGAAGTCCCATTAACCCAGACGGCACCTTGATGTCTTCTGGTTTCTGGGTCAGACCTGGAGCTCCCTGAAGACCAGGAAAGCCTGCACAGAATAGACAAGAGTGTGGCTTGTACAGCTAGTCCCATATTGCTGAGAAGAAACCAGAAAAACATTCAATTTCTTGCAATTGCAAGAGTTGTTTTGGGGCTTCAGATTCCCAACAGCCTTAGCCAGCTGAGAACCACTCAACTCTCATCCCTGTTCTAGATGGGGAAAATGGTGGCTTTTCCTTCTTTGAAAGTGTTTAAATGGGCTAGATGGCCATCTGTCAGGAGGACTTTAGTTGTGTATTCCTATGTGACAATAGGGTTGGACTGGATAGCCCCTCAAACATTATAATCTTGTAATGCTATAAATAAAATATGACTCTATATGATTTTATATATAAAATATGCCAAAAAAACAAAGAAACTAATAACGACAACAACAATCCTGCAATGCAATGCTGAAATTTGATAAATGTTGATAGGATGCACACTTGCACACACATATTTCCATCCTATAGTTCTTAAGGCATTGGTTTAAAACAGACATGATCAAAACAGAAATCAACTTCGGTGATCAAGGCACAAAAAGGAGGCTGTTGGGAAGGTTTGCAGAACTACAAAAGTTTAGTACAAAGTGTTGGAGAGTGTGCAGAAAAGAAGTCAATGAAATCAGAACACAGAAACGTATGGTACAATATAACGTACAATGGATACTAACAATGGATCTTCTTTCTTATATATTGGCTTATTCTCACTGGCCCATTGTCCATGCCCTTTTTGGCACTTACCTCGACGTCCAGTTTCACCTTTCGGACCGGGGAAACCTGGATCACCTGGAAGGCCATCTTTGCCTGGCATTCCCATGCCGCCAGGCTCCCCTTTGAAGCCTGAGAAGAGATAGAAATGATGAAGGTGATCAGGAGGATAATGGGGACAATGATATTTATTTATATGCTTTTCTACCTCAAAATGATCTTTTTTTTTTCCCTTGGAAAGTCAAGGTCTCAATACCCACTTTTGGACAGACCCAACATACATGGATGAATTAATGTTATTTCTCTGAGTCACAATTTTGGAGTATTGGAGATCTTGGAATTCTGGATAAGGGATGCACGAGTTTATCACAGTTCCTCTGAGAAGAAGTGGAGAACATCTGTGCCCAAAAAAACATCTAGTCTCCCTTAAAATATATTTGTCTTTCAATCATGCTTTCAAGAGACAAAAATAAGCAGACTTCTTTTGAAGTAACATAGTTGGTTTACTCACAAACTTCATGTATTCAGCATACAGATACTTTGTTTATCAATCCAGTTACAAATAGGATTTGAAGTAGTTTCTCTATATATGTAATAGGCATGGGCAATCCATGGGCAATTCTAAATGGTTCTAAAGTACTTACAAAACTAGGGTTTTGAACAAAACTTTCAAAATTTCGTTATAAATGGCAGTTCCTAATTGGTTCTGTCATAAAAATCGCCAATAACGAAATAATAATTAAATTTGAAAGTTTTATTAGAGTTCTGAAACTTTCACTACCTGAACTTTAGCAACACTTTAGAAGTAAAGCACCAGCGCTCTCTAGTTTTGTAAGCACTTTAGAACCATTAGCCCGGGTCAGAGTAAGCTCCCGACCATTTGTCTAGCTTGCAGCCTGAAAGACAGTTGCATCTAACAAGTAGGAAATTTAGGTACTGCTTATGCGGGGAGGCTAATTTAACTAATTTACGATGACATAAAAATCTCCAGCATCGTGCAAAGGAATGAGGAAGTTCTCCATCAATGTCACAAGTGGACGGTGAAGCAACAGCTACCCCAGTGGCCAGAATTCGAAAAATACTCTCGTGAAGCTGGAAAGTTAAATAGCCTCTCTATGACTGCCTATATATGTTGTGTGTCTATGGAACTGAATGTTTGCCATGTATATGTGCATTATGATCTGCCCTGAGTCCACCGCTTACTGTTTGCTACCCTGATCCTTACACTATTTGTTACTTAAGAACATTTCCTACTGAAGTCTGAAGCGTACTGTTTCTAAACTGGAGTCTGAGTCCTGAACAAGCCCAGATCTGATCACATGGTCTGCAGCCCCTCCCACAACAAAGAGTTAAGGAAAAGTGCACATCAATACACACATATACATAACACATAACTAGTGGAGGCTTGAAGAAGGTTGCTGTTTCCAAGAATCTGACGCCACGAGGGAGGGTTTGAAGATTAACATAACATCTCACCTTTGAATCCTGATGCTCCTGGAACGCCATTGAGACCAGGGAAGCCCGTATCACCTTTGGGGCCCAGAAAACCAGGAGGACCAGGGAAACCGGGGGTCCCTGTGTCCCCCTGATTAGAAGCCGGACCTGGGAGTCCTTTGGGACCGGGGGGTCCTTGGGAGCCTACAAATAACAAAAAATAATATTAATCATCAGATACACAATCAGTCTTCCATATTCATGGATTCTGCATCCACAGATTCACATCCACAGCTTGAAAATCTATCATCTATCTATCTATCTATCTATCTATCTATCTATCTATCTCTATCTCTATCTCTATCTCTATCTCTATCTCTATCTATCTATATCTATCTCTATATCTATCTATATCTATCTATCTACCTATCTACCTATCTACCTATCCATCTATCTATCTATCTATCTATCTATCTATCTATCTATCTATCCATCCATCCATCCATCCTACCTACCTACCTAGCTATCTATACATCCATCCATCCCTCAATTCATCCATCCCTCTCTCTCTCTCTCTCTCTCTCTCTCCTATCTCCTCTCTCTATCCCTCCATCCATCCCTCTCTCTCTCTCTCTTTCTCTCTCTCTCTCTCTCTATCCATCCATCTCTCTCTCTCTCTCTCTCTCTCTCTCTCTCTCTTTCTCTATCTATCTATCTATCTATCTATCTATCTATCTATCTATCTAATAAAAGTCAAAGTTTGCATGTATATATGTATGTGGCTATGCTTACAGGTGATTTCCAAGATGGTTACCACTTTCAAAGAGCACTATGACTCCCACTGATGCCGGATCTGGACCAAACTTGGCAGACAAACGCCCTGTACTAGAGGGGACTGGGGAGGAAAAATTGACCCTACATTTTGGGAATTATAGTTCACCCCACATCTGGAGAGCTCTGTGACACAAACCAACAATAGATCTTGACTAAACGTGGCATACATACTCAACATGACCAATCTTAAGTACTGGCAGAGTTTGGAGGGAATTGACCTTGGGTGTTGGGAATTATAGTTCACACATATTCAGAGAGCACTGTGGACCAAATCAATGATGGATCTCAACCAAACTCAGCACATATACCCAAAATGACCAATAGAAAATGCTAAAGAGGGTTGAGGGAACTGACCCAGGGTGTTGGGAGCTGCAGTTTACCCATATCCAGAGCCTACTGTGAACTGCACCAAGGCTGGATCTGGACTAAACTTTTAAGTACTGATGGTGTTTGGGGAAAAGGATGTACCTGGGATGATGGAAAGGTAGTTGAACCATATTCTTATGCATATTCTAATGGGACCATTCATAAAATCCAAAAACAAACAATGACTTTTTCTAATAAATGTCATTACAAATTACCTAACCTGGACACTGTTAGGTATCTAAGCTAGCATTGCATAAAGAACACACCAATAAATGTCATGTAAATGACTCCTGACCGCATACCTGGTCTGCCGTCCTCTCCAGGTTGTCCAGCATCACCAGGTCTTCCAGGAATTGCCGACAGAAAGGAGACGCCAGGAGGACCTTGCAAACCTGGTGGGCCCATGGCTCCGGGGCGACCTAGAAGGACGACAACAAGCCATCAATATTGTGTTCTCTGCTTGCCAAGAGGCAGAACAAATGGATCTGGAACATGATCTACAACATTATGTCAGATATATATATATGTAAATGTAGATGTATATATTACATCATTTGGTTCTCCACATTCATGGGAGAGTCTTGCGCTCTTATTCCCAACAACAGTGGAAGGGTGTCTGTATGTGTCTGTGTGTATTTTCTATACATATGTATGTTTGCATTTGTATTTGTATACTAATGGAACATAACTATGTTAGTGAACTTAGGTGCTGGGTTACAATAGTTGTGTAGCCAAAGTGGGACTACTGACAAATAAGCTAGAAAGATTAGCGTACTTGGCATTCTAAATGTAAGGAGCAGGAGCAGGAGAAGGTGGAGGGGGAGGGGAAGGGGGAAAAAAGGAGGATGTGGAGAAGGGGAGGAGGAGAGAAAGGGGAGGAGAAGGAGGAGGAGAAGGCGAAGGAGGGGAGGAGGAGAAGGGGAAGAAGGGGAAGAGGAGAAGAGGAGGAGAAAGAGAAGGAGGGGAAGAGGAGAAGAAGGAGGGGAAGAAGAGGTAGAGAAGGAGAAGAAGGAGGAGGAGGATGAGAAGAAGGATGAAGAGGAGGGGAGGAGGAGAAGAGGAGGAAGAAGGAGAGAGAGAGGAGAGGAGAGAAGGAGGGAAGGAGGAGAGGGAAGGGAGGAGAGAGGAGAAGGAGGGAGAGGAGAAGAGGAGGAGAAGGAGGAGAAGGGAAGGAGGGGAGAGAGGAGAAGGAGGGAGGAGGAGAAGTAGGGGAGGAGGGGAAGAGGAGGTAGAGAAGGAGAAGAAGCAGGATAAGAAGGAGGAGGGGAAGAGGAGAAGGAGAAGAAGGGGAAGAGGAGAAGGAGGGGAAGAGGAGGAGCAGGAGAAGAGGAGGAGAAGAGGAGGTAGAGAAGGAGGAGGAGGAGGAGAGGAGGAAGAAGGGAGAGAGGGAGGAGGAAAGGAGGAGAGGAGAGAGGAGGAAAGAGGAGGAGGAGGAAGGAGGAGGGAGAGGAGGAGAAGAGGAGAAGGAGGGGAAGGAGAAGGAAGGAGGAAGAGGAGGAGGAGAGGAGGAGAAGAAGAGAGGGAGGAGGAGGAGGAAAAGGAGAAGAAGAAGGAGAAGAGGAGGAGGAGTCATTTAACTGAATCATCTTACCTTGCTTTCTCTGTAGATCACACTGGACAACACACATTTTGGTGCCTCAAACGTTAGGCCTGTTTCTGAGTGTAACCAACATGCCAATTCCAAAATGGCACCAATTTCCCCCTACCATATACCATCTATCAGTCTTCTTCTGCTTACTCATAGAAAACCAGGATAATCATATCTAAGAAGCTAGAGCTGGTGTAGTCGATCCAATACAATTTTCTGAATCAGCACCCCAAATAGCCTCAGGAACAGGCCTAAAATACCAAGTCACCAAGAGATGCAGAAGAGCTATGATGGAATCCATTGGCCATGGGCTCCTCCTCTTTTGGTCTTGCCTTCCCTTTCCCCCCAGCTTCCCAATGTGCTTTTTCCAACGTACTACCTCATTTTTATTGCACCCATATACAACAGTTTGTATTGAATTGGTCCAGGACCCATTGACTTGTCTTTACATACTGTTTCTAACATGCTGATTTTCTCTTGCTACTCACCCATTTCCCCTGCCATTCCTTTCTGTCCCGGAAACCCTGGGACCCCAATCTGAAATCCCGGAAGTCCTGGCTGTCCTTTGGTGCCCGGAAGCCCCGCAGGGCCTGGAAGTCCAATTTCACTTGAGCCTAATGAGAGGTTAAAGGGGCAATTACAAAGAAGTTAATGAAGTACATCACTCCTTCCCAGAACTGATAGTGACACTTGCTCAAGGTCTCCCAATGTGTGTCCAAGGCTGAAACTGATATTTGAACCCAAGCTCCTAGCCCAACATCCAAACCACTATACTCCACTATATGCCCCCAGTGGCGCAATGGGTTAAACCCTTGTGCATGCGGGACTGCTGACCAAAAAGTCAGCGGTTCGAATCAGGGGAGTGGGGTGAGCTCCTGTCTGTCTGCTCCAGCTCCCAACGCAGAGACATGAAAGAAGCTTCTCATAAGGGTGGTAAAACATTAAAACATTCAAGCGTCCCCTGGGCAATGTCCTTGCAAACAAACAATTCTCTTACACCAGAAGCGACTTGCAGTTTCTCAAGTTGCTCCTGGCATTAAAAAAACCCACTAGTTCAGGGCTGGGGGTGTTTTTGCATATTTTGTTTAGAAGATGTCTGTCACTGCTGTCTTCTGAAGCTGAGAGAGTATGACGTGAGTCTCCATAGCTGAGATTTGAACCCCGATTTCTAGTTCAACGTTCAAACCACAACACCGCTGGCCTTCACATCGCTTATAGGAATGATCACGAAAAGGGCTATAGGGACCACAAGTTCTCCAACATTCTGGCAAGTGGCTAAAACTGCTGCCAATATTATTCAGAAAGTTCCTCAATTTACCTGGTGTTCCAACTGAACCCTTGGTGCCTGGTAAGCCATAAAGACCAGTCAGACCTGGAGGACCAGTGAATCCTGTATGTAGAAAGAAGGTGGCATTGAGTGAGAGCAGGGATATAGAAAGCAAGGTTTCCTGATTACATAGTTGATCTTCTGGTCCCAACAGAATTCTAAGGACACATATGAATGCATTATTAATTATCGCATCTATTCCTATCCTACCTTGCTTCCATTAGAAGGAAGGAAGGACAAACAAGAGGAAGGGAAGAATGGAAGGAGAAAGAGGGAGAGAGGGAAGGAGGGAGGAAAGACGGAAGGAAATACAAAAGAGAAGGAAGGGAAGGAGGAAGAAAAGAGAGAAGCGGGGAAGGGAAGGATAGAAGGAGAAAGAGGTAGAAAAGGAACGAGGGAGGAAAGAGGGAAGGAAGGAAATAAAAGGGAGGTGAGGATGGAAGGAAGGAGGGAGGGAGGAGAGAGGGAGGGAGAGAGGAAGAGAAGAAGAGAAAGGAGGAAGGAAGAAGGAGAAAGGAGGAGAGAGGGAAGAGGAGGAAAGAGGGAAGGAAATACAAAAGAGAAGGAAGGAAGGGAAGAAGGAAAAAAGAAAAGGAAGGAAGAAGAAGAAAAGAGGAGAAGGGAAGGAGGAAAGAGGGAAGGAAAGAAAAGGGAAGGAAGGGAGGGAGGAAGGGAGGGAGAAGGGAGGGAGGGAGGAAGGGAGGAAAAAAGAAGGAAAAGGAAGGAAGAGAAGGATGGATGGAAGGAGAAGGAGAGGAGAGAGGGAAGGAGGAGGAAGAGGGAAGAAAAAAGGGAAGGAAGGGAAGAGAGAAAAGAGAAAGGGAGGAAGGGAAGAGGAAGAGAAAGAGGAAGGGAAGGAGAAGAGGGAAAAAACAAAAGAAGGAAGGGAGGGGAAAAGGAGGGAGGGAAGGAGGAAGGAAAAATAGAAGGATAGAAGGAAGGAAGAGAAGGATGGATGGAAGGAAGGAAGGAGAAAAAGGGAGAGAGGGAAGGAGGGAGGAAAGAGGGAAGGAAATACAAAAGGGAAGAAAGGGAAGGAGGAAGAAAAGAGAGAAGGGAGGAAGGGAAGGATGGAAGGAGAAAGAGGTAGAAAGGGAATGAGGGAGGAAAGAGGGAAGGAAGAAAATACAAAAGGAAGGAAGGAAGGAAGGAAGGAAGGAAGGAAGGAAGGAAGGAAGGAAGGAAGGAAGGAAGGAAGGAAAGAAGGAGAAAGAGGGAGAGATGGAAGGAAGGATGAATGGGTGAAAGGGAAAGATGTAAGGAGAAAGAGAGGTAGGAATGAAAGAAAAAAGCGACGGAAAAATGGAAGGATGAAAGGGTGGAAGGCAAGGAGGAAAAAAAGAGAAGGAGGGAAGGACAAAAGGGAGAGAAGAGGGAAGAAAGAGAAAAGGAAGAAAGACAAAAGGAAGGAAGAGTAAGGGAGGGAAGGAGGGATGAAGGAAAGATGGACGAACGGGTGGAAGGAAGGAGAAAGAAGGAGGGGAGAAGGAAGGAAAGAGAGAAGGAAGGAAGGATAGAATTGTGAGAGAGAATAGAGGCTGAGAAAAGAGCCCAGGCCTGGGTTTGTCCTGATCTATACTGTAGAATTAATCCAGTTTGGCACCACTTTAACTTCCAGGATTCAATTCGTTACAATCATGAGACTTACAGTTAAATGAGGCAGATAAGATTGAAGACCTTGTAAAACTACAACCCCAAGGATGCCATGGTAGTTAAAGTGGTGTAAAACTGCATTAAATCCACAGTGTAGATTTGCTCTAAATGGGGGCTTGATTCTCACTCCCACCACTTTGTCCATGACTCTAATTCCAAAAAAATAAATTATTGAAAGTTACTATGCCTTTCGTCAATAAACCAAAAGTAAAAGAAGGCCCAAAACGCACAACAACATAGTTTAAATCACTGTCAAAAATTGGGGAAACAGAAGTCTTGAAATCCTGGGAGCAGAAGACACTGCTATTGCAATGGAAATACTTAAGTGTCCCCAGTGCATGGATGATAATAACATAAATGCACCTCTAACGCAAACAAGAAATTCATGGCTCTCTCTAAAAGAGCAGAAAAGGGAGGAAGGAGAAGAGAGAGCAAAGCCATGCCTTTCAGTCCTGGGCTGCCGGGAAGCCCTGGACGCCCGGAAGAACCACGCTGCCCTGGGAGACCTGGGAAGCCGGGGCTGCCCCTTGAAATCCCATTTCCGGGGAGACCTAGGAGGGGAAAAAGAGAGAGCAATTAAAAACAAAGCCCCCACTTGTGTTTTTACCTGCACCCCATTTATTTTCTGTCCTGTAAACCATCCTGAGTTCCTTTTGGAGAAATGGCAGGATGTAAACAAACCAATTGATCGATTGGACCAAAAGTCTCCTTTGCAATATGGGCTATAAACACTATCTGTGCATTCAATGAATTGAATTGATATCCATAAGTGATCTCAAAATGGCTTAAATACCTGGTGGTCCTTCTTGGCCGAAGTTTCCAATAACACCTTTCTGCCCTTTGACCCCAGGGTTTCCTGGGAATCCGTCATCTCCCTTTGGTCCATCAAAACCTCTTGGACCTATAGAGAGAGAGCACACAAATATTTTGTGACTATAGATACCACGTGTAAAATTTTATCCAAAGCTTTCTAATCTATACACATAATAAAAATGTATGTTTGTGTGTGGTTGGGATGCTCACTTACACAGAAAAGCTCCTGCCTCCACAAACTATAGCTCCCACTACACAGGAGACACCAATAGCCCTCCCTCCAATGACATTGCAGGTTATAGTGAAGACCATAAACATGTCCAAGAGACCTGCTAATGTCCTCTACAAACACAGTACTGTCCACCACCCAAGTTAAGGCTTTCATTCAGGGACAATTTCATCCTAGATTTTATGTGTTTCCTCCACCAAAGACATCCCAGTGTTTCTCCATTGGTGTGGAATTTGCATGACCCCACCCACTGCATTTCTCTTCCCTATTCTTTCCTATGGCACACAGCAGACAGAGGAACTGATCAGCAACTGAACATACTGGAGGGGTTTGGGGAGGATTCACCATGATTTATAGGAGTAGTAGGCACTGGGATGTATAGTTCACTTGTAATCAATGAGTACTCCGAACTCCACCCAATATAGAAACTTGACACACAAAGCACCCATGACTAGCAAAAGTACTGGAGATCTTTGGGGGAAATTCAGCTTGATTTGTGGGAGTTGTAGTTCACCTACATCCAGAGACCACAGTGAACCCAAACATCGATGGATCTGGACCAAACTTGGAACACATACCTGATATGCTGAAATCAGATTACTGGAGGGGTTTGGGGGAACTGACCTTCCCTTCTGGGAGTTGTAGTTCACCCACAACCAGAGAAACTGTGACCTTCACCAATGATAGAAATGGACCAAAATTGGCATAGGTAAGGTAAAGGTTTTCCCCTGACATTAAGTCCAGCCGTGTCTGACTCTGGGGTGTGGTGCTCATCTCCATTTCTAAACTGAAAAGCCGGCATTGTCTGTAGACACCTCCAAGGTCATGTGGCCGGCATGACTGCATGGAATGCCATCACCTACCCACTGGAGCGGTACCTATTGATCTACTCACATTTGCATGTTTTCAAACTGCTAGGTTGGCAGAAGCTGGGGCTGACAGTGGAAGCTCACCCTGCTCCCCGGAACCGAACCTGCGGCCTTTCAGTCAACAAGCTCAGCAGCTCAGTACTGTGCCACTGGGGCCCCCAAAACTTGGCACACAGAACCCCCATGACTAACTCAACCTACTGGAGGGGTTTGAGGGGACTGACTCACCATAGTGGGAGTTGTAGTTCACCCTACAGCCAGAGAACACATTGAACCGCATATATGATGCATCTAGATCCTTGCCCAACATAACAAACTTTTAAGTACTGATGGAGTTTCTCAGGGGTGAGTTGTAGTTCACCCACAACCTTTTGCATTTTGTACAATTAAAAAAACATTTTTTTCAAATAACCTGGGCAACGCGGGGTACCTAAGTTAGAATAACAACAACAACAACAACAACAAGCACTGCCTGAACATCAAGCAAAGAGTGGGTGCTAGAAACAATATCATACGAAAGCTGACTGGCACAACGTGGGGATCACAACCAGACACAGTGAAGACATCTGCCCTTGTGCTATGCTACTCTGCTGCTGAGTATGCATGCCCAGTGTGGAACACATCTCACCACGCTAAAACAGTGGATGTGGCTCTTAATGAGACATGCCGCATTATCACGGGGTGTCTGCGCCCTACACCACTGGAGAAATTACACTGCTTAGCCGGTATTGCACCACCTGACATCCGCCGGGAAGTAGCAGGCAATAGTGAAAGGACCAAGGCAGAGACATCTCCAGCTCATCCCCTGTTTGGGTATCAGCCAGCACGTCAATGACTTAAATCTAGAAATAGTTTTCTAAGATCTACAGAGACACTCGCTGGAACACCTCAGCAAGCGAGAGTCCAAAAGTGGCAGGCTCAAACCCAGAATCTCAACCAATGGCTGATACCAAATGAGAGACTCCCCCCTGGGCACACAGAAGACTGGGCGACTTGGAAGGCACTGAACAGACTGCGCTCTGGCACCACGAGATGCAGAGCCAACCTTCAGAAATGGGGCTACAAAGTGGAATCCACGACATGTGAGTGCGGAGAAGAGCAAACCACAGACCACCTGCTGCAATGCAACCTGAGCCCTGCCACATGCACCATGGAGGCCCTTCTTGCAGCAACACCAGAAGCACTCCAAGTGGCCAGATACTGGTCAAAGGACATTTAATCAATTACCAAACTCGCAAATTTTGTATTTTGCCTGTTTGTTTGTTTTATTCTGTTAGAAATGTAATATAATCGACTGGTTGCACTGACACAATAAATAAATAAATAAATAAATAAATAAATAAATAATACACAGTGTGATGGCATTGGACTCTTCAAGGCTCTACCAACTATTTTACAGGAATTGGATCTCTGCACGTTGAGGTCTTTCACAACCTATTGTTCGTATGGGCTGCCTCAAGGTATTTTGTTGCCTGAGGTATGTCAAAGCCATCATGTCCAAGAATACTAGTTCCTCGCCAAATGACAACTCACACGACTCCATAGCATTGAACCATGCCAGTGTAAGTGACATCAAACCACATTAATGCCATAGTGTAGATGCACTCATACGCTCTATAAAAGCTTCCAAGGTGCTGAATACGTTCAGTGCCCTGGATAGCTCCTTTAAAACCAGCCAATATCTGGCATGGATCAATTGCCTCACTGACATGGGAATCATCAGATACCACCGCAAACCTATGTTTTGCTTACCTGGAAGCCCGGGATCTCCTTGTTCTCCTTTAGCTCCTACTCCTCCTGGGATTCCTATCGATTCCCCTCGGTCACCTGGAGGATAACACACAGACGAAACATTGGTTTTCAGTTTGCATATCTACTCCACTACCAAAATCAGCCAAGATACTGGTGGTGCTGTAGGGTATTTAAGCCATTCTGACCAAGCTGGGAGACCACTAATGAAGGCCAGGTGTTTGGAAGAGTTTTTAAAAGGTGTTTATTACATCTCACAGTAAACATCTACCACTGTGTTCACTTTGGCATCTCCAAATGGTACATTAACAAAAACACACCAGTTACTTACCCTTTGAACCTCGCAATCCCATCATTCCTGGGAATCCAGGTGACCCTGGTATACCCTCAGCACCCTAAAGAGAAAAAAGAACATTTTTAGCTATTGTAAATTTATACATGAATATAGCTATATCTGTATATGTGTGTGTGCATGTTTATGTGTGTAGTTGACACTGAAATACAACATCGCCTGTGCTCTGCAAGTGCAGCATTTTTTCAAATGAAGCAGAGAGTGTTTGAGGATTGGGACATCCGTAGGGAGACCGAGGTGCTTCTTTATAAAGCTCTTCCAACGCTACATTCAGGGAATGCCGTGAATGTAGCATACCTGGATTTCAGTAAGGCCTTTGACAAGGTCCCTCACGACCTTCTGGCAAACAAAGTAGTCCAATGTGGGCTAGGCAAAACTACGGTGAGGTGGATCTGTAATTGGTTAAATGGACGAACCCAGAGGGTGCTCACTAATGCTTCCTCTTCATCTTGGAAAGAAGTGACAAGTGGAGTGCCGCAGGATTCCGTCCTGGGTCCGGTCCTGTTCAACATCTTTCTTAATGACTTGGATGAAGGGTTAGAAGGCAGGATCATCAAGTTTGCAGATGACACCAAATTGGGAGGGATAGCCAATACTCCAGAGGACAGGAGCAGGATTCAAAATGATCTTGACAGATTAGAGAGATGGGCCAAAACTAACAAAATGAAGTTCAAGAGTGACAAATGCAAGATACTCCACTTAGGCAGAAAAAAACTAAATGCAAAGATACAGAATGGGGGAAGCCTGGCTTGAGAGCAGTATGTGTGAGAATGATCTTGGAGTCCTCGTGGACAACAAGTTAAACATGAGCCAACAATGTGATAGAGTGTCACTTTGGAAAAAAGCGGGAGACAGAGATTTGCCATTCAAGCCAAATAGTGGATAGTGGATGACCTTCTTGGCCTACTGCACGAGTATATCTTTACGGGGCCAGCAAACCGGTGCAATGAAGGAGGTATGAGAACCCCATTTAGTAGCTAGGACGTCAACAAATGTTTGAATATGTACAAATTGCCAATGCATTTGAGTTTTTGGAAACATTCTGAACTGTTTTTTGCAGTCCCAAAGGTGCTACAAGAGTCCCTATGTTGCTATTTTCCAAGCAGTCAACTTATACAGACTCAATGAATGAGAAGCCTCCAAGATCTTTCCTTCTCAGGTCTTGCAAACTCAACACAACCATTGAGTCCATCTATCTGGAACCTGACCTTCCTCCTTCCCCACTATCTTCCACCTTCCCACGCATTATGGTCATGCTATATCACAATGTGCCCAAAGTTGGACAGTCTCAGTTCAGTTCTCTTCTAGAAAGGATTCAGTTGTGACTTACTGCAGGACCCATTCAGGATCCATAGAACTCTCCTCAAGTTGATGCTCTTCCTATGCATTGCCCATCACATATTCTCTTGCATTCACTTGAAAAAGAGGTGGATATACTTACGCTTTCCCCAGGCATCCCTGGGAACCCTACAATGCCAGGAACGCCCTTCTGTCCTGGAAAACCGGGAGGGCCAGATGGTCCTGGGAAACCCGAGTCTCCAGGTAGACCTTCCTCTGTGCTTGGCAACCCCGCTATTCCTGGAAAGCCAGGTTGGCCCCGGGGCCCAGGAAGTCCTTTGTCCCCTGCAGAAAGAAAGCGACCAACGGGACAGTCAAGGAGAGATGAACAATTCTGCAAAAAGGGCAAGTGACCAGTTTTGTCAGTCTGCCATTTCTGATTCGGATGAATAGAACGTTGCATCAAATGGAGATTTGCTTAAGAAAACGAGAAGAGCCCCAGTGGTAAAAGTAGCAAAAAAACTATTGTGTTGTTAAGTAGATACAAAATATACAGGATATTTGCTGTGCATGAAGCAAAGTAGGAAAGCTGAAGTGCCACAATCTTGGACACTTATGTGTATCATTTTGGAGTGTTTTGGATGTCAGAATCCTGGCTACTACTACTACTACTACTACTACTACTAATAATAATAATCCAATACAACAACCAGCGGAGTGATCTTGTCTGCTGTGGACTCATCTTGTTGTGTTTCTAATAATAATAATAATAATAATAATAATAATAATAATAATACTTCTCAAAACACAGCAGACAAAGAGTCAGTACAAGAAAACTGCACTCCAAACCAGAGCTGACAGTTGGCACAACAAAGCCTTTCATGGGCAGTTCCTTGAGAAGATTGAAGGAAAAGTTGACAAGGAGAAGACCTGGTTATGGCTCACGAATGGAACCCTGAAGAAGGAGACAGAAGGCCTGATTCTTGCAGCCCAGGAGCAAGCCATCAGAACCAATGCCATTAAGGCCAGGATTGAAAAATCAGCGGATGACCCAAAATGCAGACTGTGCAAGGAAGCTGATGAAACCATGGATCATATCCTCAGCTGCTGCAAGAAAATCGCACAGACGGACTACAAACAAAGACACAACTCTGTGGCCCAGATGATTCACTGGAACTTATGTCACAAGTACCACCTGCCAGCAGTAAAGAATTGGTGGGATCATAAACCTGCAAAGTTCGTGGAAAATGAACATGCAAAAATACTGTGGGACTTTCGAATCCAGACTGACAAAGTTTTGGAACACAATACACCAGACATCACAATTGTGGAAAAGAAAAAAGTCTGGATTATTGATGTCGCCATACCAGGTGACAGTAGCATTGAGGAAAAACAACAGAAAAACTCAGCCACTATCAAGACCTCAAAATCCAACTGCAAAGGCTCTGGCATAAACCAGTACAGGTGGTCCCAGTGGTAATGGGTAAACTGGGTGCCGTGCCAAAAGATCTCAGCTGGCATTTGGAAATAATAAACATCGACAAAATCATGATCTGTCAACTGCAAAAGGCCACCTGACTTGGATCTGCGCACATCATTCGAAAATACGTCACACAGTCCTAGACGCTTGGGAAGTGTTCGACTTGTGATTTTGTTATATGAAATCCAGCATATAGATCTCGTTTGCTGTGACATACTGTGCTTTTGTGTCAATAATAATAATAATAATAATAATAATAATCCAATATAACAGCCAGCAGAGTGATCTTGTCTGCTGTGGACTCATCTTGTTGTGATTCTAATAATAATAATAATAATAATAATAATAATAACAACAACAATAATTATGCAATTCTTCTTACAGTTGGAGGGATGCAAAACAGTCAAAACACACCACCATAAAAACACAGAATAACATACATTTTTTAAAACACATTACTATCAAGTGCATTTGTTATACACATGGTACAAAGGTTCAGGGTTGAGAAAGGCAGTATACAAATACTGCAAATAAATAAAACACAGTAGTAATAGGGTCAGTTTAAACAGCAGGACCGAATAAGGAATGCACAATCTCTCTTTTAATTTACTTATTCCACATCACCTTTGCATTTTACACTATGTTGTCTTATACAGCTTTAAATAACCATTTCATATTTTATGTGGAAATATTAAAAAAACATATGAAGAATGTTGCATTTTATATTTGTTGGTTTATGATCAGTGTGATTAATCAGATAGTGACTGAATGGATAAAGACTAATGTAGAAACTGGATAAAGTGAGTGCCAAAGAGTACCTCTTGGTCCTGGAAATCCTAAAAGTCCAAATGAGCCAGGCTCTCCTTTGTTTCCCTTGAGGACAAGAGACAGTTCTGGTGCTGTGAAAACAGGGGGTCCAGGTGGTCCGGGATTACCTCTGTCTCCTAAAGAAGGGAAAGTAAGAGACATAGAAGATATTGGCTCAGATCCTGCATCAAACACATTGCCATGATGCCACAGCAAGACTTCCGAGTCCTTATCCAACCCCCTGGAACACATCTTAAAAGCTCACCAACTCTTTGGTGCATCTAACAAAATGGTTAGCAAATGGCAGAAATGCCCTACAACCATAAACCTCTATCATTCCAGATACGAGATTTGTGATCATGAAAAGATCAATACCATGATTTTATTCTAATTTAGGACAGCATAACTTGACTGCCAGAGTCCTATCCATCATCACTAAAGATATGACCACACGGAATGGCTGCAGAGTTGGGAGATAATTGCCTTTACTTGAGATATAATTCCTCCTTTTAGCTTTTTAATGTACCTTTGCATTTTAGCATTTAGCTAAGATTTTCGTGTATCATGCTTTTATCAGACTGTATCCCACTCTCCTTTAGGCTTGTGCACAGATTCAGATTGACTGGTTCCCTTTGGCCGATCCGGCTTGTTCAGTTTGACCGGCTGGCCATAATGGCAAGGATCTCAGAAAGAGTGGTATCTTAAGCCCTTTCTTCAAACCCAGGTCTCCTCTACAGACCGAAGAGGAAAGGATCTCAGAAAGAGTGGTATCTTAAGCCCTTTCTTCAAACCCAGGTCTCCTCTACAGACCGAAGAGGAAAGGATCGCAGAAAGAGTGGTATCTTAAGCCCTTTCTTCAAACCCAGGTCTCCTCTACAGACCGAAGAGGAAAGGATCGCAGAAAGAGTGGTATCTTAACTCAGTTGCTTTTAATCCAGGTCTTAATAAAGTATATAAGGACCAACGATGCAATTGTTTACAATGACGGGAAGGGAAGCCCAGGGGACCCCCCCCCCAATTGCTACCAATCGGCTTGATCTTCTCCCTCACAAATAATCTGCTGCATTTCTATCATACCCTGCGTTTTTAGTATTTTAGTATTTTATCTTGTACATGTGGCCCGCTCATTGTCACTGTGATTGTAAATGATTTTTTTTCATTGTATTTTTATATTGTTTACTGTATTCTCATGTTTTATGTATTTTATTGTGTTGTTGTTTTGTGCTTTTTTTTTGTTTTATTGTAATACCCTGTTGGGCTTGGCATCATGTAAGCTGCCCCGAGTCCCCATTGGGGAGATGGTGATGGGGTATAAATAAAGATTTTTATTATTATTATTATTATTATTATTATTATTATTATTATTTAGCCATATTTTTCGGCTGTGGTACAAAAATGGCTATCTGGCAATCTGCATGTTTTCGGGAGGCAGTATCCAGACAGCAGAAACAGATCAAGGTTCAGCCGAAATGCACAAGCCTACTCTCCTTATGCTGGTCTATGGCCGTAATAAAGAAAGATCAAAGGAAGATCAGAGTTACACTAGAGGATCTCAAGCAGTAGTTCTCAACCTGTGGGTTTCCAGATGTTATGGCCTTCAACCCCTAGAAATCCTAACAACTGGTAAATTGGCTGGGATTTCTGGGAGTTGTAGGCCAAAACATCTGGGGACCCACAAGTTGAGAACCACTAACCTATAGACTCCTAGACAGATGCCATTAATAAATCTGCAAAAAGTCAAATCCGCAAAAAACTAAACCTGCAAACGTGGAGGAGGGCTGACCGTACTTATGGTTGGGCAAGTCAACCAGCAAGTTGTATGTTAGGCATAGAGTAAAATCATTTGATATAGAGGAGCAACTGGAAACTCTTACTAATTTGAATCCCAGTCTCCAGAGACATGAACCAAACCAAGGATGCTTCACAATAATTAATTTTTTAGCAGAATAGGAAAACCAACCACCCATCCAATCAACCCTTAGTCTTCATGGACAGTAAAATATACAAGAACAATTTAGATAACACTGTAATGCCCCTTTCCATGACACCCTGAATCCGCTGGTTGCAGTGTCTGCCGCACTGTGCTCAATGTTAGGGTTGGCCCTCGATTTGAGGAGGTATCTCAAGTACATTAGATATATGGTCTCACAACAAGAATTTTGGGAAGGACTTCCAAGTTGAAGTGGCAGATGGGGCAAAAGACAGTCTCAGAATCACAGGGAAGCCCACTTCTAAGAACAGCATCAGAGGAGTGCTCATCTCTTGGCTTATCTCTAAAATGTCGCTCCATCCCAAGCTTCTGGACCCACCTTTCAGGCCAGGGAGTCCTGGGAATCCGATGCCCCCCTCTCTTCCTGGTTCTCCAGGGATTCCTTTTGGACCGTCGACCGCAGCGATTCCAGGAAGACCTGGCATGCCAGGGAAGCCAATCACACCCGCCGAGCCCTTTTCTCCTATATTCAAGGAAGAAAGCGAGAGAATCTGTATCCAAGCAAACTAGGTTAGCACAATGCAGTAAGACCTCTGTAACAGCAGAACCCACATCCACAGTTTCACTTGCCCACACCGAGAGGGGAAAAGTTCTCTCTAGAACTTTGTTAGCAGTTACCATAAAGCAAGTAGCTAAATATTAGGGTGTATTCAACAAATATTAGATGACACATTCTAGGGTTGACAATACATGTTTTCAATAGCATTTTCGGTATCTTCTATGCTGTTGTCAAGATATGCATTCTCCGGGTCCCCCATTTTGGGGAAAGTACGGGTATAAATGAAAATGATAATGATTAAAAATGTACTGGAAAATATAACAACAACAACAACAGCAACACTTTAATTATATTCTGCCCTTCTAACCCCGAAGGGGACTCAGGGCGGATCACAGTAAACATACATGGCAAACATTCAATGCCGTTTTTTTCAACGGGACAAAGAACAGAAAGGAGGTATATGGTGTTGTGTTCACATTCAGTTGAACATCCAACTTGTCTGCGCCTTCGGAAGTTGCCAGCCACAGGGGAGCACTGTTGCCCCATCCTCTATGACAAAGAGCCATCAGGACTTCCTCCTTCCTTTTGGTCACTGGCATTCTTTGACCTTTTTCTTTTTCTTTATGGTGTCGTAAAATACTTCCCCTGGATTAGCGGTACCTAATTTCTCTAATCACAGCTGTAAGCTGTTTTCGAACTGCTTAGGTAAACAGTGAGCAGGGCTGACAGTCGGGTGCTCACGCCGACCTGGGGTTTCGAACTTGCAACTTTTTGGTTTATATTTATATAAATAGAAACACAACAAGAATAACAACACAGGTCTTCCAAGTCTCTAAACTGTCCAACATTCCAATGATTTCATCCAAATAATATTTTGCTCTATTTAACCAAATACACCAAGGTTATCAACTGTCATTTAAAATCCTGCATAATTCCTACCAAAATAGTATGTTCTTATGTATATTCAAGTCAATTGTGGCTAGCAACTAGTGACTAGAGAAGGGCTGCCATGATCTGACTTGCCATAGCAAAGTGGGGAACTGAATCCAGATCTCAAACATTCAAATTGCTACATCATGCAGGCTCTTACTCTCATTAGAATTAATACTACGGTTCCTGTTATTGTTGTGTGCCTTCAAGACATTCCCAATTCATGGTGCACCTAAGGCGAGCCTATCACAGGGTTTTCTAGGACTGAGAGAGTGCAGTTTAGCCAAGGTCAACACTCAGTGGGCTTCTATGGCCAAGAGGGGAATTGAACCCTTGTCTCCAAGGCTGAATCTATTATTTTATTTATTTATTTCCTATATTTATTCCCCGCCTTCTCCCCCCGAAGGGGGACTCAGGACACCACGTTGGCTCTACCCCAATAAAAGACACACATATATGTGTTCTAATAGACCTTTAATATTGATGATTCTTACCTTTAGGTCCAAGGAAACCTGGGTTTCCATCTGGACCCGAAATGCCAGGCGATCCAGGAAATCCTTGCTCCCCGAGAGCCCCTTGAAGACCATTGAGACCCGGGAAACCCTTCATGCCGGCAGGACCAGGTGGACCGGGATCTCCACTTTTGCCCTTTTCTCCAGGAAGCCCTGAATCGAGACAAACAAAGGATCTTCGTGTTGGAGTCTTCCTCACTCGGTTCCCTCTCCTTGTACCATGTTCCAAGCTGTTTCACTGCATTGGTACACAAGGAGGGAAAACCTCTGAAATGGAAAATCATGCAGCCTTTTTCTAAGGTTTAGAAATGCCAAAGTAAAATAGGAAGCATTAGTCGTCTAACAATTAAAAGGCTTAGGAAGGTTACTGCCTACACCACTACACAAGTGCCGAAAGTGAAACCCCTTATGCTTGGGATAATTTTGGCAGAGCTTGGGAAGTTACTCTTTGTGGAAAGAAAAAGCGGGGTATCAATAAACATAATAATAAACATAATAATAATAAAAGTTTTATTTTGGACTACAATTCACAGATTCCCACCTTTAGCTTGGACGGCCGGTGTAAACCGCTTTGAGTCTCGGACTGAAGAAGAGGCAGAACTGAATAATAATAATAATAATAATAATAATAATAATAATATAAGGGGTGTCACCTACAGTCAATGCGAGTCTCGTAGCATTAAAAGCTAGGCAGCTGTTAGTCCAGGAGCTTTTATGCTACAGGCCTTTTGTGTGTTTTGTTTGTCGCTCTCACCTTGGCAGCCTATTTGGAGAACCCCAAAACCAAAAGAGTGTGACATCGGAAATGGAGAGGTTGGTGGTAAATGGAAGAGAAACACGGCGAGGAAAAAAAAGACGGACATACAGAGGGACAAGGAGAAAAGCACAAGGCCGTGAACCATAATGGATGAACATGGAATACAATGGCGCTTACCTGAATGTCGGGGATCCACACAATATTTATATCCTGCTTTGCATCTCAATCAAAGAGGTAAAAGCGGGATATAAATAAATATAATAGCTGTGGGCTGCTTGGTAGGGAAAAGTTGCTTACCTGTAACCGTGTTTCTTCGAGTGCTCATCTGTGAAATTCGCACTTAAGTGCAACTTTCACAGAGACCATGAAGAAGAAGGAATGGTTGCTTACCTGTAACCGTGTTTCTTCAAGTGCTCATCTGTGAAATTCGCACTTAAGTGTGACTTTCACAGAGACCATGAAGAAGAAACAAGCTTTTCACAAGTAGCTTCAAGAGCTCCAAAGGGCACTTTCCCCATATGAAAGTAGGTTTATTCTATTTGCCTCGGATCAAAAACTCTTACAAGGTTTCCATGCAAACTTTGGCCACAGAGAAGGAATTCCTTTTCAGGTTCAACTTTCCCTCAAGTAGCCCCACTCATATACAAAAGAAAAGCAAAATTTCTTAATTAAAATATAGGGAAGTTAACTGGAACCCCAGGAATCAGAACTCTCAAGCAACCAGCAAAAAAATCAAACAAATATTACCTTAAATAAAAATAAAATCAGTTCTTATAATTCAGTCAAACTGCGTTACATTAAATTGAATTTGTCTTAATTTGCTTTTAATTGCTACGGTCCTTCCTGGAGGGTCATTCCCAGTTGGTGAAGTTGGGGGACACTTGCTCGGACCCCTGGCCATTGACATGTGGGGTCCCGCAAGGCTCCATTCTGTCCCCCATGCTCTTCAACATCTACATGAAACTGCTGGGAAAGGTCATCCGGAGTTTTGGAGTTCGGTGCCATTTCTACACAGGTGACACCCAACTCTACTACTCTTTTCCATTGGAATCCAAGGAAAGCCCTCGGATACTGGACCAGTGCCTGGCTGCTGTGACGGTCTGGATGAGGGCAAACAGGCTGAAGATTAATCCCGACAAGACAGAGGTCTTCCAGGTCAGTCGCATGTCTGACCGGGGTATTGGGTGGCAACCTGTGCTTTATGGGGTTGCACTCCCTCTGAAGACACAGGTGCGCAGCTTGGGGTTACTCCTGGATTCAGTGCTGACACTTCATGAGCAGGGGTTGGCGGTGGCTGGGAGGGCCTTCACACAATTAAAACTCATGCACCAGCTGCAACCGTACTTTGAGAAGTCTAATCTGACCACGATGGTTCACACCTTAGTAACATCTAGATTGGACTATTGCAATGCACTCTAGGTGGAGCTACCCTTGAAGACAGCTCTGAAACTTCAATTGGTCCAACGTTCGGCAGCCAGACTGCTAACTGGAGAGAATTACATGGAGCGGTCGACCTCCCTGTTTAAGGAGCTCCATTGGTTGCCGTTCACCTTCTGGTCCCAATTCAAGCTGCAGGTTATCATTTTCAAAGCCCTGAATGCTTTGGGACCCTTCTACCTTTGTGACCGCGTCTCCTTCCATAAACCTGCATTATCTCTTCAATCCTCTGGGGAGGCCCTCTTTTCACTCCCACCTTTTTCAAAAGTACGACTTGTGGGGACAAGAAAGACAGCTTGCTCCGCTGTGGCCCCTTAACTTTGGAATTTGCTGCCTAGTGAGATCAGGCAAGCCCCTACCCTGGCAGTTTTTAAGAAAGACCTAAAAACTTGACTCTTCTGATGTGCCTTTGGCGAGTGGACATATATTCCATATTTTGTCTGTTCCAACTACAGTTACCGTCCTCATGATGCACTTTCCTCTTGCCCTTAATGAATGTCTAACCCCATTGTTCGTTCCTTTTGAGCTCCCACTACTTATCTCATCCAGGGTTTTATCAATTTTATCCTAGTACATTTGGCCCACCCACTGTGTCCTATTTCTCTATCATGTTATTTTGTAACTGTTTATTTTATTTTGTTATTTCATGTATTTATTTTGATGGTATTTTCTGCTTCTTTGTATTTTATTTTGCTGTACTGTAATTTTGGGCTTGGTCTCATGTTAGCCACCCTGAGTCCCCTTCGGCGAGATGGTGACGGGTACAAATAATGTTGTTATTATTATTATTATTATTATTATTATTAATTATTTCAATATTAAGATGAAGTCTATACAGAGTTTAAGGTACGGCATAGTATGGGGTATAGTATTAGGTCTATTTTTAGTGTTAACTCTCAGGCAACCAGAAATTACATTGATTCAGCACCTTTCAATCACCCTGGGCACCAGTTAATTGAGAGTCTACTATAATTTAAACTGTATGGTAGGAGTTGGGAACTTCTGAACCTCTAAACTCCAATCTCCAGAATCCCCAATGCAAAGGGATTGTGGGATTTAGAGTCCAAAATATTCAGAGGGTCAAAGCTTCCATGTCTGATTTCTTTTTCAATCCAGGAGAAACCAAAGGCTGCAATTCACCCAAGCCTTTGACATCGACCTGTCGTTTCCAAAACTCAATTTTTAAAAGACCGCACAGTACACAATGCAAAAGATGAATCTAAATTATCTTTGGTTGTTTTTTGCATTGTTTCATTAATGGAAAAAAGGAATTGTCCAATCTCCCAAAGCGCAAAGAGGATGTCCCTGTTTCTGAGCAATTGGCGGATAAAGATGGAGAAACCACAGCAGTGCTTTGGAGAAAGCAAAGTGAGAACAGACTGGGGAGGATGCAAAGTTACATTCTGTAGTCACTCCTGCAATGGAAGCATGAATGTGGATGATGGAAGTTAGTAATGATAAACAATATTCTGGAAAAGAAAAGTTCTTCATCTGATCATCCTTTTAGCATCTTCTCCACTTAAAACAGAAGTACAATAAGATGTCCTTTTGAGGCCAAGTCAAGTAGGCAACCTATTCCAGACTCCACATCTAGAAGGACTTTGAACCATTGATCATACAAAGCAGAAGTGGGAAACTCCAGGAAAGTAAAATTGTTTCCCCCATCCCACATCTTCCCCACTGTGGGCTATATTATTGCTTATAATACGACCAGAAGTGCTGCAATGCCATGTTGGGTTCTGGAAATCCACTCTGCAGAAAGTCCTCCACATTTGCTGAGGACCTCCACAAAGGTGGAAAAAAACGTGAAATTTAAAAATGTCCATTTTTTTTGTCACTGGAGAACAAAAACATTCCTCTGTAGGAATGTCTAGTTCCCTGGGCTGACTCCAAGACCACAGAGATGTACTAGAGATTTTTGGAGAGACCATATTAACCCAAACCGAGAATAATCAAATTTGCAAGTGTAGAATCTGCAAATGTGATGGGATGACTATATTTCAACTGAAATATAATGGGTTCCTATAAGGTTCCTTAGGGGTCTTGGGGGCAGAGGAAGTCAAATTGGGAGATTGTTGTTGACACCATGGATTCTTTGACCATTTATGGGGCAGTTTTTGGAATCTGGAAGCTTTAGAGCAGTGGTTCTCAACTTGCGGGTCTCCAGGTGTTTTGGCCTTCAACTCCCAGAAATCCTAACAGCTGGTAAACTGGCTGGGATTTCTAGGAGTTGTAGGTCAAAACACTTGGGGACCCACAGTTGAGAACACTGTTTTAGAGTCCCCAAAAGATTTTCAAAGACCTCCAAAGATCTCTAAAATGGCCCGCTAATGGTGTGCTAGAGCTCAACCTGATAAAATAATTTTTATTGCTTGCATTTTGTAGATCTTTCAGCATACTCATTTGGTTTGATTCCTTCTCAAGAGGAGCCAAGGATCTACTCAAGGGATCTCCTTGTCTACTGAGATGGGACACCACCATGAAGCTACCAGAAGAGAGAGGCTCCATGCATGAAGGGGTGAAGTAGAAGACCACACACTCCTTTTCGCTTTGAGGCATTACATACCTTGGGATCCCGGGAAGCCAACGACTCCACCTGGACCTGCTTTTCCCTTGATGCCAAGTGGCCCTACGGGGCCCGGAGGTCCTGGCAGCCCAGGAAAACCTGCTTGACCTGGATCACCGGCCATTCCTTTGATGCCTGGTAGGCCTGGCCTCCCATCCAAACCTGAAAACAGAGAAACAGCAATTGGCAAGGGCGGGAGAGCCATTTTGGGGCAGGAGGGGCAGCTTTCGCCTTTCCTCTCCAACAGATTTTGTTGCATCGCCTACAGCGGACACACAACTGCAAAAGGTGTATGTTCCACCAGTCCTCCTTCACCATCCAATGCGGATGCTGCTAAAAGATTGCCAACTAGACAGAGGACAAGGAGTGAAACTTAAGTTGGACAAAAAAAAAACTGTATAAAGGAGTATCTCTGTTTGAGGCTTGTTAACTAAGGTATGTCTGCAATAACATCAACAATCTCTCATCCAAACATTAGCCTTAACTGCAAGGTGACATGATCTTCAGTCAGACAAGGAGAGCAACAGCACTAACCTTTTGGTCCTGGAAGGCCTGGATCCCCCGCAAAACCTTTATCCCCTGGTATTCCGTTTCTCCCGGGTTCACCCCGTGCTCCACTTTCAGCCCCAAAGACTTCTCCACGGGGGCCCTTTGCTCCAGGAAATCCAGGAGGACCTGATTTCCCTGGTAAGCCATCTGTCCCATCAGTTCCAGGAAGTCCTGATATCCCTGGATCGCCACGAATACCTGGAAAACCTAAAGTCATAACAGTTAGAAGATAACCAAGATTTAAATAATGTTTGCATTACCATCTCTCTCTCTTTCATATTCTGTAACATGTAGGTTATTTATTACTAGTATGCATGCCTAGTGTGGAACACATCTCACCACGCTAAAACAGTGGATGTGGCTCTTAATGAGACATGCCTCATTATCACGGGGTGTCTGCGCCCTACACCACTGGAGAAATTACACTGCTTAGCCGGTATTGCACCACCTGACATCCGCCGGGAAGTAGCAGCCAATAGTGAAAGGACCAAGGCAGTGACATCTCCAGCTCATCCCCTGTTTGGGTATCAGCCAGCATGTCAACGACTTAAATCAAGAAATAGTTTTCTAAGATCTACAGAGACACTCACTGGAACACCTCAGCAAGCGAGAGTCCAAAAGTGGCAGGCTCAAACCCAGAACCTCAACCAATGGCTGATACCAAATGAGAGACCCCCCTGGGCACACAGAAGACTGGGCGACTTGGAAGGCGCTGAACAGACTGCACTCTGGCACCACGAGATGCAGAGCCAACCTCAAGAAATGGGGCTACAAAGTGGAATCCACAACATGCGAGTGTGGAGAAGGGCAAACCACTGACCACCTGCTGCAATGCAACCTGAGCCCTGCCACATGCACAATGGAGGATCTCCTTGTGTCAACACTGTCATAAGAGTTGGAATCAAATCTTCTATGTGGAATGAATGCTATAGCATCAGTAATGGTCATTTCTTCCCCATATAACAGATTGCCTTGGTTGAATAGTTTGATACAGTCTCAAACCATTTTCAATGGTTTAATTGACTGCATACCATCCTTGGGACCTTGGATACAGAGCAGGATCTAATAAATGCTCATTGTTGCTTCAGTTACATGGTCACCATCATCATAATTCCTTTGGTCTTAACCAGACCTTACCTGGCATTCCTAGAAGGCCGATCAATCCTGGTATGCCCATCTGTCCTTTCATGCCATTGAATCCCGGCTGACCGGGAATACCTGGGAGACCTCTGCTCCCCTTGGGTCCTAGACAGGAAGAAACATCCATTAAGTGTCTGCTTTTGGGGGGCTGCCATTGCCGTCTTTATTTCTATGTAATTCCAATTTCCAGAACTCCTGGCACCCTCCACATCCATCAACAAATCCGGATGCCTGGCACTGAGGTAAGATGTCCTTCTTCAGCCAAGAATGGTCTTGAAGGGGCCCTATTCCTCCTCAAAACCTAATATTTGGTCTGGCAGCACTTCTGTGGCCAACACAGAAGACAGACCATCTCTGACTTGTGCTAAGGTTACTTTAAACAGACCTAGGCATGTTACATTTGGGATATCAATCTGCACAGGGACCTCATAACATCTTAGAGACTAGACATGTGTATTCGGGGTAAACCTTGTCCTGTTTCGTGTCCCTGTGATCAATTTTTTGTAATCCTCCCGAAATTGGAGGTTTACAAAAAAATTCAGTCCCTTTGTTTCGAGGCCCAAAAATCAGACCATTAGGGGCTTCCCAGCGTACGTTCTTCTTACCTGGCACCTGAGTAAGAGGTGCAGAGCTGTAGGCACTGACCTGCTTGCATGCCCCACCACACATGCAGTCTGCTTGGAAGAGAGTGCATGTGTAGCGGGGCATGCAGGCGGGTACGGGAAGGGCACATGCGCCTGCCAGTACCTACATCCAAGCACCTCTTAATACAGAGTAAGAGATGCTCAGGTGCAGGTGTGCTGCAGGCCTGCATGTATGTCCTGCCACAAATGTGCTACCACTCTCTGTGAGAGTGCATGTGTGGCGGGGCATGCAGGCGAGTACAGAAAGGATGCGTGTGCCTGCCAGTACCTGCAGCCAAGCACCTCTTACTATAGAGTAAGAGGTGCTCAGGTGCAGGTGTGCTGCAGGCCTGCCTGTATGTTCTGCCACAAACGTGCCACCACTCTTCTCTGAGAGTGCATGTGTGGCGGGGCATGCAGGTAGGCTCGGAGCATGCCTGCAGCTGAGCTTCGAGCCTTCCTGCCTGCACACCCCACCACACACATGATCTCTTTCCAAGGCAAGGAGGCAAGTTTGGATGCACATGAAAGTGTTGAGCAGATTTTTGTGTGGGGTGGGGAATTCCCGTTTCGTGCCTCTGAATAAACGAAAGACACAAAAGAAACAGTAGAAACAGTAGGAATGAATTTGACACACTTATCTATTAGAGACCAATTGAGAGCACAAAGTTGGGAGCAAACGTTTTTGTAGTCGTGGGACTCTATCATACACAGACTTCCCCAAATTTCTAAACACTTTAAATTGGGGTCTCATGGAAACAATCAAACAATGCAAGACTATTTCCGAGGGTGGCCCGTGAGACTCTATTTTTAAAATGTTTAGAAACAGGGCATTTTTGGAGCTGGGTAACTATCAACTCCAGAGGTCTCTATGGACTTAGAAATGGGAAAAGATGCATACTTTAAGGTGTTTTGGCAACTGTTGGATTCCTCCATGTAGTATCATTTTTGACGATTACTTATGGGCATTCAGGTGGGTGGTATTAAGTTTCCCACAATTCTACTCTTGTTTCCATTACTCCACAAGGACAGGTTTGTGGTGGCCAGCAGTACAAATAAAACCATTTACATTATTAAAAGTTATCACAGTGGTATGCCAAAGCAATAATAGAAATTATGAACCATACAATCCCGAAAAAAAAGCCCTGCAAACTTGCTAATTTTTTTCCCTGAAACGCGAGATTTCACACTTCCACTATTGTGTAGTTTTCCTATTTTTTTAAAAAAGGAAAAGACAGCAATATAGGCAGAGACCATTCTCTTCTGTGTGATGGCGACTGAAGTGGGTGATTGCTTTTGAGATGGCAGGAGTCTATAATGCAGTGTTTCTCAACCTTCCTAATGCTATGACCCCTTAATACAGTTCCTCATGTTGTGGTGACCCCCAATCATAAAATTATTTTCGTTGCTACTTCAAAACTGTAATTTTGAGTCATCGTGTAAATATCTGATATGCAAAATGTATTTTCATTCACTGGACCAAATGTGTCACAAATACCTGATTAGCCCAAATTTGAATACTGGTGAGGTTGGGGGAAGGGAGGTGTATTGATTTAGTCATTTGGGAGTTGTAGTTGCTGGGATTTATAGTTCACCTGCAATCAAAGAACATTCTGAACTCCACCAATGATGGAATTGAACTAAACTTGGCACACAGAACTCCATGACCAACAGAAAATGTGAGAAGAGTTTGGTGGGCATTGACTTTGAGTTTTGGAGTTGTAGTTCACCTAAATCCAGAGACCGCTGTGGCCTCAAACAATGATGGATCTGGACCAAACTTGGCACAGATACTCAATATTTCCAAATGTGTACACTGGTGGAGTTTGAGAGAAATAGAGCTTGACATTTGGGAGTTGTAGTTACTGGGATTTATAGTTCACCTACAATCAAAGAGAATTCTGAACCAACGATAGAATTGGGCCAATCTTCCCACATAGAACCCCCAACCAACAGAAAATACTGTGTTTTCTGATGGTCTTTGGCGACCCCTCTGACACCCCTTCACGACCCCTCCAGGGGTCCCGACCCCCAGGTTGAGAATCACTGCTATAATGTATGATTAGGAGGGTTCAATTTTCTGTTTTTCAAACAACATGGAAAGGCACAAAATGCAATGCTAAGAACAACCCCCTGCTTTTACCCATTTTCTAACCCAAATAGGATGAGGTCCTTAAATCTGCTTCCCAGGATGTATGGCATCAAGTGCCTAAATAGGGACCTTTGTATCAATAGACATAGAAATGCAAAAGTTGTGGGTGGAATGGCACCCTGCAGCTTGCACTCCTTGAAAAGGATGATGTCTTTATAAGGTGTCTTACCTGGAAATCCCGAAGCCCCTGGAAGCCCGGGTGGACCAAACGCTCCCGGAATGACACAGGGCAACGTTATACCTACAGAAAGAAAACATGGCAAAACTTTCCTTGGCTCGTTGCAGTTTGACAATATTTCAGGAAAAATGTTGACCAATTTATCGATGTGATTGATATCCCACCTTTTCCTCAATAGTGACTTGCAATATCAGTTACAACAGTGGATGCAATCCAACACCTTCTCCTGTAGAGGTCTGTTGTGCCAGCACTGCACAATCCCCATGCAAAATAGCCAAGTTGCGCTATACATCTCCATGACTGGGCACTATTGCAATTACAGAGCTGCGATGCACAATGTGCTGCTGTGATGCGCAATCTCGATATGTGACATCACTCTATGTGCCACTTCTTTCACTTTTTCCAGCAGAAGGCATCCATTGCATAGTGGTAAACAATTCACTCCGTGTGCACAGCATATATGTGTGAATATCATTAACCGGATCCCTTGTATCCTCATGACTCAAGGGGTGCAGCTGCACTGTAGCATTAATGGGGTTTGACACCACTTTAATTGCCATGGCCTAATGGTATGGATTAATGGGAGCTGTAGTTTTACCAGGACCTCAAAGACAAAGAGTGCTGAGCTGCAAACTACAAAATCACGGATTCCATAGCATTGAGCCATGGCAGTTAAAGTGATACCACACTGCATTAATCCTGCAGTATAGATCAGGAATGGGCAAACTTCGGTCCTCCAGGTGTTTTGGACTTCAATTCCCACCATTCCTAGCAACCTCAGCAGCCTCAGGCTCCTTTTTGGCTGAGGGGGGAAAAGAAAGGGACTGAGACTGCTAGGAATTGTGGGAACTGAAATCCAAAACACCTGCAGAAGTGAAGTTTGCCCATGCCTGGTGTAGATGCACCCAAGGATATGGATGGCATGGCACCAAATGTGAAGAAAGCTCATTCCAGGACTTCCATACCTGCTTAAGCAGCTGTGGGGAAATGGAAGAGGTCTGAGGTTGTTAGGAATTGTGGGAGTTGAAGTCCAAAAGACACGGAGGGCCGAAATTTGCCCTTGCCTGGTATAAATGAACCTCCAGCCTCTATAGTACCAGTCTTTGTCCAAAAGGCCACTAAATTGGCATGTTTTGCACATTTCCAGGGCATGCATACATGTCATAATCTAGTCCAGTAATTCCCAAAGGCTCAACTGGGAGTTGAAGTCCAAAACACCAGGAAGATCCAGGGAAATCATGCTTCCCCTCTATTCTGCCTTGGCTAGACCACATCTGGGATATTGTGTCCAATTCTGGGCACCACAATGGAAGGGAGATGTTGACAAGCTCGAATGTGTCCAGAGGAGGGCGACTAAAATGATCAAGGGTCAAACCCTATGAGGAGCGGCTTAAAAAGCTGGGAATATTTAGCCTGAAGAGAAGGCTGAGAGGAGACATGATATCCATGTATAAGTATGTGAGAGGAAGTCACAGGGAGGAGGGAGCAAGCTTGTTTTCTGCTGCCCTGGAGACTAGGACGCGGAACAATGGCTTCAAACTACAAGAAAGGAGATTCCATCTGAACATTAGGAAGAACTTCCTGACTGTGAGAGCTGTTCAGCAGTGGAACTCTCTGCCCTGGAGTGTGGTGGAGGCTTTTAAACAGAGGCTGGATGGCTATCTGTCAGGGATGCTTTGAATGCAATTTTCCTGCTTCTTTGCAGAGGGTTGGGCTGGATGGCCCAGGAGGTCTCTTCCAACTCTGATTCTAGGAAAACCAAAGTTTGAGAAACACTGGTCTATTTAAATCATGCATCTGAATCTTCTTCGATACTTGAAGCTGAGTTGTGAACTTTGTCATTGCTTTGGTTTGTCCCATTGCCTCTTTGAGGCTACACATGCAATAATAAGCCAAGATGTCGGAAGCACATGGAAGCAGACACTGAGCATTTAAGCACACGCTTTGCAAGGGGAAAGCACACACAAGCAAGCTTTCTGGTTCCCTCCAATGTCAGCCTCCCCTGGATGGGATCCCAACACCCGCAAGTGTCACACAACATGCTGTTTTGGGTGTGTCCCTCCCCATCCTCCTCAGTGTGACAACCGCCAGTCCTGGCTCTCACCTCCCTCAGCGTCTAAGATTCCATTCCCAACCTCCTCACTGCAGCAGCAATCACCTATATCAGTTAAGCAAAGGAGGACAGGTTAAAATAGAGGCAGGTTAGGCAACAACAGGAGAAGGTCCACTCGCAGGAGCGCCATGACCTCCCGTATTCACAGGCATTGCATAGGAGACACATACCAAAAATTCATCTTGGCAAAGGCTTTCATGGCCGGAATCACTGTGAGTTTTCTGGGCTGTATGGCCATGTTCCAGAGGCATGATGTTTCACCACATCTATGGCATGCATCCACAGAGGTTGTGAGGTCTGTTGGAAACTAGTTAGGTTCATATGTCTATGGAATAACCAGGGTGGGAGAAAGAACTCTTGTCCGTTGGAGGCAAGTGTGAATGTTGCAATTGGCCATCTTAGCACTGAATGGCCTTGCAGCTTCAAAGCCTGGCTGGCTGGCTGGCTGCCAACATTAAAAAAAAAATCTGAAATCAGGACAGTAAATGAATTCAATATAAGTCATGTGTTTTACAGGAAGTTCCAAAGGGGTTGTTGTAAATTTTCCCGACTGTATGCCCATATTCCAGAAGCATTCTCTCCTGTCGTTTTGCCTGCATCTATGGCAGGCATACTCAGAGACAGTGAGGTCTGTTGGAAACTAAGAAAATGGGATTTATATATCTGTGGAATGTCCAGGGTGGGAGAAAGAACTCTTGTCTGTTGGAGGCAAGTGTGAATGTTGCAACTGGCCACCTTGATTAGCACTGAATGGCATTGCAGCTTCAAAGCCTAGCTGATAGCTGCCTGGGGGATCCTTTGTTGTGAATTCCAGACAAGAATCAATCACAGCCAGCTAAGAACTCCCAACAAAGAATCCCCCAGGCAGCAACCAGCCAGGCTTTGAAGCTGCAAGGCCATTCAATGCTAATCAAGCTGGCCAATTGCAACATTCACACTTGCCTCTAGCAGACAAGAGTTCTTTCTCCCACCCTGGAAATTATTCCACAGATAAATCAATCTCAGTTGCCTGCTTTCCAAGACCTCACAACTTCTGAGGATGTCTGCCATAGATGTGGGTGAAACATCAGGAGAGAATGCCTTTGGAACATGGCCATACAGCCCAGAAAAACTCATAACAACCCAATTCATATTGGTCTTGAGGCAGTTATGACTTAGGGTCTTCTCATTTTGAGAACTCGTATTTTTGCAGGGTTTCTTGTAGTGTGCTTTCAAGTTTTGGCAACTTTAAGGGCATCAGTCTCAGGGACAGAAAGGCTAAAACCTTTCAGTTCAGGGAAGCCTCTAAAGAAGAGAGATCTAAAGAATGAACTATGGGGTGATATGTAGTGTTTTATTTATTTGTTTGTTTATTTACTGTATTTGTATACTGCCTTTCTCTGCCTGTAGGCAACTCAAGGGCAAAATTCAATACTTGCAATGTCATAATTAGTTTTATTTTTTTTTGTTTTAATTAGTTAATGGTTTTATGAGATGTAAACTATTTGTTTTTAACTGTTTACTGCGTTATTTCTATTTTAATGTTCATATGTTGTAGGTTTCGAAATGTAATTTGTCTTGTCTTTAATGTTGTGAGCTGCTCTGAGTCTCATTTAAGAAAGGAAAGTGGGATAATGATGATGACAATGACAATTACTGAGAGTATGTGATTCATTCAGGATCGCTCAGAGGGTTTTCCATGGCCATTGGCTCTCATTTCGCACTGAATGTATGTGCCTTTTGGGCATCAAAGTGGAAATGTTGTTTGGGGCCGCAATGGCACAACAGGTTAAACCATTGAACTGTTGAATCTGCTGCCCTAAAGGTTGGCAGTTCGAAGCTAAGGGTCAGGGTGAGCTCCCGCTGTTAGCCCTAGCTCCTGCCAACCTAGCAGTTTGAAAACATGCAAATGTGAGTAGATCAATAGGTATCGCTTTGGTGGGAAGGTAATAAAGGCGCCCATGCAGCCATGACCAGGAGGTGTTGATGGACAACAAGCTCCTCGGCTTGGAAACGGAACAAGAGCACCTCCCCATGGCCAGAGTTGAGCACTACCTCCAGAAGTCAGAGATGAAAGGGGAAGCCTTTGCCTTTGTTCTGTGTATTTGTATGTCATTATTATTTCACTGTATTGAAGGCATTGAATGTTTGCCTATCTGTGTATGTTGTAATCTGCTCTAAGTCCCCTCGGAATATAAATAAAATGTATTATTATAAATGCTTTGCCTGTGAATACAGATCAGGTACATTGTAAACACCACAAGCTGAAATACATATCTCTAAATGCAACGTTAAATAGGCAAAAAGAAGTAGCTTTTATATAACTAAAGGAAGCGGCAGTAAAGAAAGCAGCACAATGCTGTTGTTAAGGGAAAGTCTTTTGAAAAGCTGGCATTAGAATATAATCGTAATGGAAAGATTTCATTCTACTGCCTGGATAGTTCCAAAAAGTATCTGTCCAAAGCTCTGGAGATTACTTACAACAGGCATGGGCAAACTTTGGCCCTCCAGGTGTTTTGGACTTCAACTCCCACAATTCCTAACAGCCTACCGGCTGTTAGGAATTGTGGGAGTTGAAGTCCAAAACACCTGGAGGGCCAAAGTTTGCCCATGCCTGACTTACAACAGCTTGATTGAGTGGCAGCTGAAGAACAAAGCCAAATAAATAACGGTTTGTTGTTAGTGAAGAAATGGGTTCAAAGTTCGAAATCTGGCTTGGCGTCTTTGGAAACTATCGTGTCCAAAGATGTGACTATCTTGTGATCAACTGAGAATAAGAAATTCCTCTCTCTGCAGCAAATGACGTACCTGGAGGACCTGGAAGACCAGGCTGTCCTGGAAACCCATCTAATCCTGGTTCGCCCGGAGGCCCGCGAGCTCCAATTGATCCGGGAAACCCAACGCCCGGAAGACCAACCTCACCTCTCCGGCCCTTGGCCCCAGGTAATCCTGGCAAGCCTTTCTCCCCTGGGTAGCCAAAGACTCCATCGCCCTAAACACACACAAAAGAAGAAAGTGAACGTATTTATTTATTGTATCAGAAGTGAACCGAAGGTACAGTTGAAGGTATAAAGTGAGGGTAAGCATGGGAGATCTCACTAAGACTTGTATTCTTTGAGTTAGAGAGGGCCTTTGGAATAATCCACTCAAACCAAGGTAAACAGGGTTGTTGTGAGATTTCCAGGCTGTATGGCCATGTTCCAGAAGCATTCTCTCCTGATGTTTCGCCTGCATCTATGGCAGGCATCCTCAGAGGTTGTGAGGTCTTTTGGAAACTAGGCAAGTGATGTTTATATCTGTGGAATAGTGTCCCACCCTGGTCATTCCACAGATATATAAACCCAATTTTCCTAGTTCTAACAGACCTCACATCCTCTGAGGATGCTTGCCATAGATGTAGGATAAATGTCAGGAGAGAATGCCTCTAGAACATGGCCATACAGCCCGAAAAGACCTACAACAACCCAGAACTCTTGTTTGTTTGAGGCAAGTGTGAATGTTGCAAGTGATAACCTTGATTAGCATTGAATAGCCTTGCAGTTTCAAAGCTTGGCTGCTTCCTGCCTTTGTTGGGAAGTGATTAGGTGATTCCATATACTCCATTTGCCTAATCAACAAACCTCACAACCTGTGAGGATGCCTGCCATAGATTTGGGTGAAACATCAGGAGATAATGCTTCTGGAACATGGTCATACAGTCCGGAAAATTCACAGCAACCCAGTGATTCTGGATGTAGAAACCTTCGACAATACATATCTCAAACATATCTGTAACTGACTGATAAGTTGTGTACCTGTGTATGCTGAATACATGAAGGTTATGAGTAAACCAAATATGTTATTTTTACCAAAGTCTACTTTATTTTGTCTCTTGAGTGCATAATATAAAAAAAGTTGTTTTATGGGGAAGTAGATATATTTTTGGGCATTAAAAAATACTTCTGAAGAACTTCTATTTTTATGCACTGGTCCTAACAGATCAGAGACAAGAGGTTATTCAGTCTAACAATTGAGGCCAATTGCCTTACATAATTGGTTGCATACCACTTGAGAAGATTCTACTCAAACGGGTTCTTGGCTCTCCTCTAAAAGGTTATGATCTCTAAAAGGTTATGTTTTTCTAAAAGTCTGGGAGGGTCCTGAGTCTTCTCCAGCTGGAACTGATAATCCAGAGTCTGATTACTCCCATTCTTCTAAAAGAGTGGTTCTCAACCTGGGGTCCCCAGATGTTTTTGGCCTACAACTCCCAGAAATCCCAGCCAGTTTACCCGCTGTTAGGATTTCTGGGAGTTGAAGGCCAAAAACATCTGGGGACCCCAGGTTGAGAACCACTGTTCTAAAACAATCCTCTCCTTGAGAACCTCCTCAGTCCTATATTCTCAGGAAGGAACTGAGAGCAAGGACACACTTACCGGAAGACCAGGTGGGCCTGGGAAACCTGGAGAACCATCCCGACCAGGAATTCCCGGGACGCCTGAAGGACCCCTGAGACCGAGATTCCCTGGATCTCCCCGGAGGCCTTCGCCTGATGCTAAGAGTGGTTCTCCTTTCTGTCCCTTGAGACCTGAAGGACCAGGTGGACCAACGAAACCCTGAAGGTACAAACAAACAAGGAGTCAACAAGCAAAAGGATGCACCAAGAAATCACAGTACAGCAGCAGAACTGGTAAACTTATCTGAACAGTGAGGGTATATATATGTCTTCAAGCTACTTTGCAACTTATAGAGATGTCAAGCATTTCATTTCTGTTTGCATTGATTCTGTTGTGGTTTTATATTATATATTAATGTTTTTAATTATATTTTTGGTATTGCGAGCATTGAATTGTTGCCTTGTAAACCGTCTTGTGTCGCCTGCGGGCTGAGAAAGGCGGTATACAAATACATACATACATACATACATATATATATATATATATATACACACACATACACACACACAAAATATATGTTTTCTTAGGCAAGGAATATTCCTCTAAATATAATCCACAGTGTTTGGTATTCATTGGATAGCTTCCATAAGTCAACAGGAACATGAAGGCTGTGCCGTACTCCAGAGCAGGAACACCTCTGACCTTAAACACCAAGCAGTTTATTGAAAAATAGATGTAGGCAAAGCAGTAAAAAATAGCAAAAACAGTAAAAGTCCAATTTATAAAATAGTCCATAAAACAAGATCTATAAGTACATAAAAACCCATGAAAGTAGGCACTTGAATCTAGGAAAGCAGACAGCAGGAAAAATCTTATAAACAAATCTTAAGCTTGGCAAAAACTTGGTACATGTAACTAAAAGCACTTGAAAACAAGACCGTGATAAAATAGCAACATTGACCCGACTGAGGCAACTCTTTCCTATGAATCATTATAAGGCTTTTTCATATCCCAAAACTGAAAGGAAAGCATTTCTCTTGACCTTCCCACCAGATGAAGGTTTGTTATCTCTCTTTTGCTGTGGAACAGGCATCCTTAAACCATGGCCCTCCAGCTGTTTAGGACTTCAACTCCCAGAATTCCTGAAAACGGAACATGCCCGTTAGGGCTTCTGGGAGTTGGAGGCCCAAATATCTGGAGGGCGATCGGTAGAAGAACTGATCGTCTCAGTCTCTGAAGACTCTACCTCTGTTTACTAAAACTCTGTTTCCTATCTAAACTTTCATTATCTTCTCTCTCATTAGTTTCTGCGCCTGACAATTCATCTTCAGACAGTTGCTCTGAGAAAAGCTGTGAAGGGTTTCTCCCAAGAATGTGGCCTTGTGAATCTTCCTGAGACAGCTCAGACCTCTCATCTGAACTTAACTCAGGGCCCAGTAAACCCTCATCCCCAATGCCAACAGACCCAGACCCATCATCAGGAACATCACCCCCATTCCCAGCATGAACATCAGCATGAACATCAGAAACAATCACAGGCTGAACAGGCTGACATACAACAGGTTGCTTATTTTCCCATGTTAAATATCCTGAAATTCTAATACTTAAAAGGACTATTGATGGAATTGGAAAAAATTACTTCAATGGACCGTGTTGTGTAGTGACACCATGGATTAAGTAGGGTTTTGCACCAGGAGTGTGGCACAACTGGCTGGGAGTCAGCTGCATTGAGATCACTACTAACTGAAAGGTCATGAGTTCGAAGCCAGCCCGGGTTGGAGTGAGCTTCCAACCAATTTGTGTAGCTTGCTGTCGACCTTTGCAACCCGAAGGACAGTTGAATCTGTCAAGTAGGAAATTTAGGTACCGCATTTGCGGGGAGGCTAATTTAACTAATTTACAATGCCATAAAAATCTCCAGCAAGCATGCAAAGAATGAGGAAATACTTCATCAGTGTCACAAATGGACAGTGAAGCGACAGCTCCCCTGGTGGCCAGAATACCCTCATCAAAAGCTGGAATGTTAATAGCCTCTGCGTGTCTGTCTATATACGTTGTGTGTCTATGGCATTGAATGTTTGCCATGTATATGTACATTGTAATCCGCCCTGAGTCCCCTGCGGGGTGAGAAGGGCGGAATATAAATACTGTAAATAAATAAATAATAAACTGTTAAACAAGGAATACTTCATAGTTTTGCCAGTTCCTTCCTCCGAAATATAGTTGTCAACAACCAAATCTTTACTAGCATCCTCCCATCCAAACACTAACCAGGGAGGAAGCAGCTTAGCTTCAGATAGGATTTCGTGTCTTTGGATTACCATGGACATGACAGCAGTAGCAACTGCTTGTAACTTTCTTCCCCCTTCCAAAATGCAACGTTTCCAAGCTCTGCATGTGTGTTTGTAATGGGAACAAAGCAACAGAAAATGGTTCTATTTCAGACTTAAAACTGGATGCATTTAGAAATCTGACACTACATTTCCAAGTTCTCAGATGTGATGAGCCAAGTTTTCACAAAAAAATGAAGAAAAAGGAAATGATAAAGACAACCCGCCACAGGCTTAAAGTCTTCAAATATTATCTTTGGTTTATTTTTGTGTCTGTGCTTATATTTGCGGATATTACTGAAAGATATTTTTATAGGGTGTCATCAACAGACAAGGCACTTTACCCAAAGTACAAGAAGTACAATGTCCTCTTTTTTGGAGCAATTTACAGAGAACACAACGGAGACCGCGGAGGAAACGGAAGATAGCAGAGGCATTTATTTCAATATGTATTTAAGATATGACAACATTTTGCTGCAGCTGTGCCAAGAGACGGCACCATTTTTGGAAGGACTCCATATATTCATGTATACATTGACTGCGTGTATAAGTTGAGGGTTTGGGGGACAAAATTAGGGATTTTGATATAATTTGTGGGTAAGTCAAAGGTCATTCCATGAGGAGCAGAAAGTGCAAATGCTACCTTCAAAGGATACTGTTTATCCTTTTTGGACTCCCCTTAATTACATATTTTCTTGTCCTACCTCATCCAGGGTTTGATCATTTTACCTCATCCATTCAGCCCACCCATTCTGTTCGATTTTATAGTATGTTAACTTGCTTTATTTATTTTATTTTGCTGCTTTACATATTTTATTTTGATGTAATTTTGTTGTCTGCATCTTGTATTTTAATTTGCTGTACTGTACTTTTGGGCTTGGCCTTTTGTTAGCCACCTCGAGTCCCCTTTGGGGAGATGGTGGCGGGGTATATAAAGTTGTTTATTATTATTATTATTATTATTATTATTATTATTCAATCTCATCAATATTTTCTTGGTTAAAGGCCATTTTTAAAAGGAAAAGAAAGAACTAATAAGAGAAACACTACAACAATGGACAAAGGAGGGGTCAATGATCAAGTTTTTCTTGATTTTTGCATAAACGTCTTTTTTATTAACTATAACATAGAAGATCACTAATTAAACAAATTTTGAAACGCAAAGGATTAGATGGAAATCACCAACTATTTTTTAATTTTTTATTGCTTATTATCATTTTTATTACTTTTTTCTTTTTCTTCCTCATTTTTCATTTTTATGTACTTTTTTTTCTCTATTATTATTATTATTATTATTATTATTTCTCACATTTCTATCCTATCCTTCTCAACCCCCGAAGGGGGACTCAGGGCGGTTTACAATGGGCCCCATTCTGGAGCCATTACATAACCAATTACAAAATTAAAACCATAATTAGACTTAAAAGCATAATTAATAATACATAAGCCATCGTTAAAACAGTAAAACAGTCTCATCTGTCATATCGTCATTCTAGTCACATATACAATATATAGGTAGATGTACATATATGTGTATGTGTGTGAGTATGGGTACATGTGTGTGTGTGTGTGTGTATTCATTCCCTCTCTCTTCTTTCCCCCCCTACTTTCTCTTAATTAAATTGTTCTCCTTTACTTGGAATATCAACCCATTTTCCCCTTTCCCTATTACTGTAAGTAAAATAAAAATTTATTTTTTAAAAAAGACTTTTCCACTCTACTGAGAGTTAGAATTTGTCAGAGCTTATGTCTGCCTGCCTATCTATTGATCTGTCTGTCTGTCTGTCTGTCTGTCTGTCTATCACTCTCTCTCTCAATTCATCATGGTATCCATCCTTCACGCAAGTATTATCAATGCAATAAAAGGAAGAATCATTTCTCATTGCCAGAAGTGTGGATGACTTTGAAGGCGCTGAACAGGCTGAACTATAACACCACAAGATACAGAGTTAATCTTAAGAAACGGGGCCACGACATGTGAGTGCGGAGAAGGGCAAACCACACACTACTGACTACAATGCAACCTGAGCCCTGCCGCATGCACAATGGAGGACCTTCTCACAGCAACACCAGAAGCACTCCAAGTGGCCAGCTTCTGGTCAAAGGACATTTAACATAATGCCAAGTACTTTTTTAACTTTCTGTTTTAAATGCATTTTAACTGTACCCTCAACTTGCTTCTGACACGATGAATAAACCAGCAAATGGGGAAAGCTCTACTTACTGGTGGCCCACGTGGGCCTGGTTCCCCAATTCCTGGGTCTCCCAAAGGGCCTTTTGGCCCAAATTCTCCTGGTCTTCCTGGCTGGCCAGGTGAACCTGGCTCTCCCTTTAGGCCATATCCTGTCAATCCTCCATCACAGGCACAGTCGCCTCCTTCGCCTGGGAAAAGAGTGGCTCATATCAGACACAGAGTCAAAGTATTGCTTATCCATGTAAACCAAGACCCTACTCAATCCTGTTGAGATGGAATACACTGGAACAGTGGTTCCCAACCTTTTTTGTTTTTGACCAGGGGCCACTTTGACCTACTCTCAGCATTAGTACCAAAAGGTTTACGAATCGGTTCGTGGTCAACTTTAGACTCGGTTTGGTTACTTGGAGTGCTGATTCATAAAATTGCATTGGATAGACCACATCAGCTCTAGTTTTTGATACAGAACATATGCCATCCAGCAGTCGCCATCTGTTCGCCCACAGAAAACTATATTAGAGCTAGTAGTAATATTTCATGGGTAGCCAGCCTCTCCCCTCCCGACATCCCCATTGCCTTGGCACTATAAAAGTGTTTTGTGAAACCAGTCGCTCTCATTGCTGCATGGTTTTGAGACAACTTTGTAGTAATGGTGAGGCCACAAACCATATATTCATTCTTGCAGACCACTGGTGGTCCACGGACTACAAGTCGGGAACCACTGCACTAAAATGTATTTTCTGTGCAGAAATATATGTAGTTATTCAATGTGAAGAAAACACATGTATATCTACATATAAAGTGGTTTCTGTGCAGAAAACTCATGCATACTTCTACCCAGAAAACATGTTTTCTGCAACATGTATTTCTATGTAGGAGCAGAGAGATAATTCCTAAAACACAAACACTCAGGAAGTTTTATATAATTTTTATATAATTTTCATTCAGTAGGGAGAACTCTGCAGGAAACTGTCACTCTTCCCTTCAAGGATGAAGAAAACAAAGTGGTAGAAGGTTTCAAGTACCTCAGCAAACCGTGTACATCTGAGTTGTTTGTTCATGTTTCATCTTTGCTATAGACCCAAAGCCAAACAATGGTTACAACTTCCTACGGGTCAGTTGTTTCAAACATCACAGAATGGGGGACGCATGGCTCGAGAGCAGTACGTGTGAAAAAGATCTTGGAGTTCTTGTGGACAACAAGTTAAACATGATCGAACAATGTAATGTGGCAGCAAAAAAAGCCAATGGGATTTTGGCCAGCATCAATAGGAGTCTAGTGTCTAGATCCAGGGAAGTCATGCTACCCTCTTAATCTTCCTTGGTTAGACCACACCTGGAATATTGTGTCCAATTCTGGGCACCACAATTGAAGAGAGATATTGACAGGCTGGAATGTGTCCAGAGGAAGGTGACTAAAATGATCAAGGGTCTGGAGAACAAGCCCTATGAGGAGTGGCTTAATGAGCTGGACATGTTTAGCCTGAAGAAGAGAAGGCTGAGAGGAGACATGATAGCCATGTATAAATATGTGAGAGGGAGTCATAGGGAGGAGGGAGCAAACTTGTTTTCTGCTGCCCTGGAGACTAGGACGCAATGGAACAATGGCTTCAAACTACAAGAAAGGAGATTCCATCTGAACATGAGAAAGAACTTCCTGACTGTGAGAGCTGTCCAGCAGTGGAACTATCTGCCCCGGAATGTGGTGGAGGCTCCCTCTTTGGAGGCTTTTAAACAGAAGCTGGATGGCCATCTGTTGGGGGTGCTCTGAATGCAATTTTTCTGTGTCCTGGCAGGGGGTTGGACTGGATGGCCGATGGGGTCTCTTCCAACTCTATAATTCTATAATTCACAATAAAACACAACTAGCACAGCCTGTGATTTGCAAACTCACTTGAACCCACAATGGCAAAGCAGGAGTTTGGGGTATCTCCTCTAAAACATAGCTATGCAACTTTATAGTAACTTCCATGTGCAGCATAGCACAAAATTGCTGAGGATGACCCAGAGACCATTTCCCTCCAAAGCGCAAGTAAATAAAGCATAGATATGGGTTCTACAATTACAGGGTGTTGCTTTTTATTAAGTCACCCACTAACCATAATTCACTGGGCTAATGTTTCATGTCTTTTGGTTCTTCAAATGTTTGGACTTGAACTTTCGGGAGTTCAAGTTCAAACCCACATTGAAAAAATGGTGAGAGCCTTTTGGAGGTGGAGCTTTAAACATATGGAAAACCACAGATTGAGAATCACTGCACAGGTTGGTGCATTTCCTACAACATTTCATAAGAAATTATGCCATAACACAATAGGTATAGCTTTGCAGCTACTGTTTCCTCTCAATCAAAGTGAAAATGGGACCATCATTTACTTTTTTTTTTTTTTTGTCGTGTCAGGAGCAACCGCTCCTGTTGTGAGAGAATTGGGCGTCTGCAAGGACGTTGCCCAGGGGACGCCTGGATGATTTTTGATGTTTTTTATCATCCTTGTGGGAGGCTTCTCTCATGTCCCCGCATGAGGAGCTGGAGCTAATAGAGGGAGCTCATCCGCCTCTCCCCGGATTCGAACCTGCGACCCGTCGGTCTTCAGTTCTGCCGGCACAGTACTTTAACCCACTGCGCCACCGGGGGCCAGAACAGATGCTTTCTGAAGACATATGTAGACGAATGTGCTGTACATGCCAAATGGGAAAACCCCATCCAATGTTTCAATCTATGGTGAGGCCATGGTGAAAGATCACAAAGATGATAGGAGCCATGCTCACCTTTGAACCCTTTTGGACCGAATGTCCCCGGTGGTCCTCTCGGCCCAGGTGTCCCTGGCTCTCCGGGTTCTCCACTAAAGATGCCATCTGGTCTCAAATCAGAAACTGCAATTTGAGTAAAGGAAAAGAAAAATTAGTTCTTGGAGAAGCCAGATCTGGCTATGGAGACACATGCCTTGATGACATCCTATCTTGACTGCTGTAATGTATTTTATATAGGCCTGTCCTTGGAAACTGGCTAAAAGATAGGGTATACATCCAAGGAACAAAAAAGAAACAAAAAAATGACCTCACAACCTCTGAGGATGCTTGCCATAGATGCAGGCGAAACATCAGGAGAAAATGCTTCTAGAATATGGCCATATAGCCTGAAAAACCTACAACAACCCAACAAAAAATGCTATGGATTTTGTGGCATACATAGATGGAAAGGATTTGCAAAACTGAAAGGTCAGTGTATAGCACCGTATTAGGTTTGTGGAAACTTCATTGGTCTTGCAAAACAAGAAAAGAGAGACAGAACATTTTGGTGATATTATTGTATGCCTTTGAGTTATTACCGACATATGGCGACTGTAAAGCAAAGCTATCATGGGATTTTCTTGGCAAGATATGTTCAGAAGGGGGTTGTCTTTGCATTCTGCTAAGGTTGAGAGAACATGGCAGGATTTGAACCCTGGCCTTCAGAGTCATTGCCCAATGTTGAAACCACTGCACCACACATACCTAAAACCCCTGCAGGATAGGTGCTGAACGTCATTCTGGTACTTACGTGATGGACCAGGAAGTCCTGGAGGCCCTGGAAAACCTGGAGTGCCATCTCTGCCAGGTGGACCAGGCAATCCAATCGTCGACCTGCCTGGATCTCCTTGGTCTCCTTTAGTTCCTGCAACTCCTGGGAATCCCCTTGAACCTGGAGGTCCTAGGAAAAACAAACACATCTTCTTAGGAAACCATCATATCTGTATAAAATCCACATTATGGTTCTTTCTTCTGAAATATAATATATAGTACTCACTATTAATTGGTAGTCTCCGATATATTAAAAGGTAATTTAAAGATACATGCAATTGCTGAGCTTCCTCCTCATTCTCCCCTATTACATTGTCTGAAATTCCAATACTTAAGAACACTTAAATCTATATGTATATTAGGCTTGTTTGATTTTTAAAAAATGGTTCAAAACTCATTTCGGATGTAGGGGGTGCTGGTGGTTTGATTCTAAAGTCAATTCTGAAAACAATGTTCAAAACTATTCAAAACTCCAGAATCCTTAGTTAATGATTTGAAAGTGTTATTTCCTGTTTCATTGGGTGGTCTTTACTTTGAAAGTAGTTGTTTTACTTCAGAAGCGAGGAAAAGCAAGTGGAGGAAATTCCTTCCTTTTCTGGCTTAAAACTAGCTTCTCTGGCTTTAAAACTGGCTTCTCTGGCTTGAGCTGAGGCCAGGGACCAGAAGCTGGGAAAAGCTGAATCATTTCTGACTTACTTCATAAGTCGTAACAAAAACGGCGGAAAAGGCTTTGGGGACTTCCAGTTTCCTTAAAACCTTCAAAATCGCTTCAAAAAGGTAATTTTCTGGATTTATTCCGAATTACGAAGATTCCGACGGTACCTAACCATGCCTAATGTATATCTATCTACCAGCTGTTAGGAATCGTAGGAGCTGAAGTCCAAAACACCTGGAGGGCCGGAGTTTGCCCATGCCTGATCTAGTTCAACTATTCCTCCACATCCTCAAAATTCCCATCCATGTATTCTACCATCCATGGCTTGAGAATATTAAGAAGAACATTGAAAATGCAAACCCTGATATAAGTGACGCCATTTTACTACAGCACCTTATATAATGGGACTTGAGCATCCATGGATTTTGGGACCTGGAACCAAATCCCAGCAGAAAGCAAGGGCCCACTGGATGATTTTTTTCTTCAAAGGCCACAATCCCATCTCAAGGCAAAGATGTCTCCAGCTGAAAACCTTTCATAGCTTTACCTGGAAAAGGCGAAGAATAACCTGGTGGACCAGGAAGGCCTACCATCCCAACGGACCCTTCGTCGCCTCTAGCACCAAGGATTCCCGGAGTCCCAGGTTCTCCAGGAGGACCTGGGATGAAACAGAGAGTGAGAGAGAGAGGTCAGGATTGCCCTGGTCCCAGCAGACCACCATTGTCATGTTCATATTACCTTGATAAAAACTAGTCTCTTTTCTAAGTTAGTATGAACAAGTACTTTTCAAGATATCAACTGGATAAGTCAAACCATGGGTAACGGTCAACTCTATTAAACGAGCATATCATAGAATTGCAATGGAGGACCTAGGACACCTTTCTAGGCATCGCTCGGTCCTACAGCGCAACCCTATGATCAACAGCCATAGTTTTTAAAAAGTGCACTGTGTTTATGTTTATGCTATCTGTGTATGAGATTTATTTTAATTGCTTTGCTTTGTATTGTGATTGTTATTACTTGTTACTGATGTATTGTGGGCTTGGCCTCATGTAAGCCGCACCGAGTCCCTTGGGGAGATGGTAGCGGCGTATAAATAAAGTTTTATTATTTATTTATTTATTTATTTATTATAACATCATGCTAAGAAAACCCAAGTGGGAAGGTCTGGCATATAGTTGCCCTCAGAGGATCAAGATTCTGGAGAACAACCACTATGAGGAGTGACTTAAAGAGCTGGGCATGTTTAGCATGCAGAAGAGCAGGCTGAGAGGAGTCATTATGAGGGCTATGTATAAATATGTGAGAGGAAGTCATAGGGAGGAGGGAGTAAGCTTGTTTTCTGCTGTCCTGGAGACTAGGATTCAGAACAATGGCTTCAAACTACAAGAATGGAGATTCCACCTGAACATTAGGAAGAACTTCCTGACTGTAAGGAGAGCTGTTCAGCAGTGGAACTCTCTGCCCTGGAGTGTGGTGGAGGCTCCTTTTTCGGAGGCTTTTAAACAGAGATTGGATGGCCATCTGTCGGGGGTGCTTTGAATGCGATTTTCCTGCTTCTTGGGAGAATGGGGTTGGACTGGATGGCCCATGAGGTCTCTTCCAACTCTAGGATTCTATGAGAAAGTGATATATTTTGTCATAGTAAAACAAAATGAAAGTCCGCATAGTTAAAGCAATGATATTCTCCATGGGTGTGAGAACTGGACCATAAGGAATGCTGGGTGAAGGAAGATAGACGCTTTTGAACTGTGGTACTGGAGGAAGTGCCTTGGACCACAAGAAGATCAAACCAGTCCATACTTCAGGAAATAAAGCCCAACTGCTCATTGGAGGGAAGGATAGTAGAGGCCATATCTTTGGCCATATCATGAGAAAACCAGAAAGCTTGGAGAAGACAATGATGCTGAGGAAAATGGAAGGAAAAAGGAAGAGGGGCCGACGAAGGGCAAGGTGGATGGATATTATCCTTGAAGTGATTGCCTTGACCTTGAAGGGCTGGGGGTGGCCACGGCCAACAGGGAGCTGTGGTATGGGCTGTCCATGAGGTCACGAAGAGTCAGAAGCAACTGAACAAATAAACAACAACAAAAAAGAAAAACACACCTGAAATTACGATGCCTTCTTCATCAATAATAACCGTAGGACCTGGAGGACCAATATCACCAAAATCGCCCTGGAAATTTGAACACAAGTGTCAGATATTAAAGGAAAGGCACTTGGAGACTGGATTCATTATTAGTAGTACAAAAGATAGCAACCATGGAGCAGGGGAGAAATTACCTTTCCTCCTGGTGAACCATCTCTTCCTGGGAGTCCTGGCTCACCCGGTGAGCCCTATAAGACAATGAATTACTCTATTATTAGTAGTAGTAATAGTAGAAGTATTCGTGTTACAATCCTCTGTGCGCCCTTCTTTCATATTACACAATGATAGCACTATGGCTGTTGAAGTGTACCTCTTCGCCTCGGCTCCCGTCCAAGCCTTTCAGCCCCATGTCTCCCTAAAAAAAAGAAAATAAAAGGTATAATTGGACATTCCCAGATATGGATCAGAGCTTGGCTAACAGAGTGCACCATTCTGCTTACTGCTATTACTGCTATCATTATTCTTCATCTCATAGAATCACAGAGTTGAAAGATACCTCATGGGCCATCCAGTCCAACCCCCTGCCAAGAAGCAGGAATATTACATTCAAAGCACCCCGACAGATGGCCATCCAGCCTCTGTTTAAAAGCTTCCAAAGAAGGAGCCTCCACCACACTCTGGGGCAGAGAGTTCCACTGCTGAACAGCTTTCACAGTCAGGAAGTTCTTCCTCATGTTCAGATGGAATCTCCTTTCTTGTAGTTCCATTGCGTCCTAGTCTCCAGGGCAGCAGAAAACAAGCTTGCTCCCTCCTCCTTATGACTTCCTCTCACATATTTATACATGGCTATCATGTCTCCTCTCAGCCTTCTCTTCTTCAGGCTAAACATGCCCAGCTCTTTAAGCTGCTCCTCATAGGGCTTGTTCTCCATACCCTTGATCATCTTCATCATCTCTCGGTTTCAGTGTCTACTCATTGTGACTGACTAGAGTTTTGGGACTATCTATGACTTGGATCCTGTCACATTGTTAGACAACGTGGTACTTTCCATGTAACTGTGTAATTTCTGGGTTGCTGTAAGTTTTTTGGGCTGTATGGTTATGTTCCAGAAGCATTTTCTCTTGATGTTTCGCCTGCATCTATGACAGGAATCCTGAGAGGTTTTAAAGTTTGTTGGAAACTAGGCATGTGAGGTTTATATATCTGTGGAATAATGTCCACGGTGGGAGAAAGAATTCTTGTCTGTTGGTGGTAGGTGTGAATGTTATAATTGGCCACCTTCATTAACACTTCATGACTGTAATTTTGCTATTGTTATGAATCGTAATGTAAATATCTGATATGCAGGATGTATTTTCATTCACTGGACCAAATTTAGCACAAATACCAAAAAAGCCCAAATTTGAATACTGGTGGGGTTGGGGTGGGATTGATTTTGTCATTTAGGAGTAGTAGTTCCTGGGATTTATAGTTCACCTACAATCAAAGAACATTCGGAACTCTGCTAACAATGAAATTGAACCAAACTTGGCACACAGAACTTTCATGACCAACAGAAAATACTGGAAGGGTTTGGTGGGCATTCATTGACCTTGAGTTTTGAAATTGTAGTTCACCTACTTCCAAATAGCACTGGACTCAAACAATGAGGGATCTGGACCAAATGTGGCATGGATACTCAATATGCCCAAATGTGAACATTGGAGGAGTTTGGGAAATATAGACATTGACATTTAGGAGGTGTAGTTGCTGGGATTTATAGTTCACCTACAGTCAAAGAGCATTCTGAACTCTCCTAATGATGGAATTGAACCAAACCTGGCACACAGAACTCCCATGAGCATCAGAAAAAAAAACTGGAAGGGTTTGGTGGGCATTGACCTTAAGTTTTGAAGTTGTAGTTCATCTATATCCAGAGAGTACTGTGGACTCAAACAATGATAGATCTGGACCAAATGTGGCATGGATACTCAATATGCCCAAATGTGAATACTGGTGGGGTCTGGGGAAGATAGAGTTGGGCATTTCGGAGTTGTAGTTGCTGGGATTTATAGTTCATCTACAATCAAAGAGCATTCTGAATATCCCCAACGATAGCATTGGGCCAAACTTCTCACACAGAACCCACATGACCAACAGAAAATACTGTGTTTTCTGATGGTTTTTGGTGACCCCTCTGACACCCCCTCATGACCTCCCCAGGGGTCTCGACCTCCAGGTTAAGAAACGCTGCTATAGATGGATATGGGGAGCTACTTACCCTGGCTCCAGGCAATCCAGGGACACCTTTTTCTCCTTTCTCGCCAAAACCATCAATACCCTAATAGGAAAATGAGGGAAACACCAAAGATAGCATGGATCAATCTAACAAACTCCAACCTGAACCCAAGACACACCAAACAGTGGACACTTCATACAACTGGCTCAGGGTAAACCATTTGGTTGCCCCTTTGGGCACTAACATCACTGCTGTGGTCAATACTTGTATGAATAACCAAACTTTCCTAAACCAGAAACAGAAAAATTATCTGAGAAATGCAGAGGATTTTATTTTTCTATCATCTTCATCTAGGTCTGTTCTTGAAATAGATGTACTATGTAGTTCCCCACAAATGAAGACTCACTTTCCAATCCACCAGTTGTAGCAGAAGAACTACAAGACTGGGAAAAGAATGAACTTTGGTGCCATGAACAACTTACTGGAGGACCAGGAAATCCTTGTGGACCAGGAAACCCTTCGGGGCCTGGGACTCCCTGGAAAAAAAACAAACAAATATTCATATCAGATGGAAATGAGATCTGAAATGCAATTTCTCTAATCTGAAATCTAGAATTTGCACATCCAAATCTCTAGATCTAGAAACGGTTCCGGCCCAAAATACCTTTCGGACCGCATCTTGGCCTATGAGCCCACGAGGGCCTTGAGATCATCTGGGGAGGCCCTTCTCTCGGTCCCGCCTGCTTCACAGGCACGTCTGGCGGGGACGAGAGAGAGGGCCTTCTCGGTGGTGGCCCCGCGGCTGTGGAACGCTCTCCCTACTGATATTAGACAGGCGCCCTCCTTGCTCTCCTTTCGTAAAAACTTGAAAACCTGGCTCTTTGAGAAAGCTTTCAATTAAGTGCTTTAACCGGTAACCGACGACAGGAACATTATACGGATTTTGAGTTGGCTATGATTTTATGAATGAGACGAAGCGGATCAATTAGTTGTAATTTGTATTTAGCGTTGATGATGTAATTTTGATTGTGTTGCTGTTTTGTACCTGTTTTTAGATTGTTGTACACCGCCGCGAGTCGCCCTAGGGCTGAGAGCGGCGGTTAACAAGTACAGTAAATAAATAAATAAATAAATAAATAGAAACATGCAAGTACTTGCCCTACAATTTGATTCATGCTGAATTCCAGGGAAATCCTACAAATCACATTGAGACATGTATTGTCGAAGGCTTTCATGGCTGGAATCACTGGGTTGTTGTGGGTTTTTGCCATGGTCTAGAGGCATTCTCTCCTGATGTTTCGCCTGCATCTATGGCAAGCATCCTCAGAGGTAGTGAGGTCTGTTGGAACTAGGAAAAAGGGTGTATATATCTGTGGAATGACCAGGGTGAGACAAAGGACTCTTGTCTGCTGGAGCTAGGTGTGAATGTTTCAACTGACCACCTTGATTAGCATATAATGGCCTGACAGTGCCTAGAGCAAACTTTCTTGAGAGGTGATTAGATTTCCTTGTTTGTTTCCTCTCTGTTGTTGTGCACAACAACACAATCAAGGTGGTCAGTTGAAACATTCACACCTAGCTCCAGCAGACAAGAGTCCTTTGTCTCACCCTGGTCATTCCACAGATATATAAACCCTTTTTCCTAGTTCCAACAGACCTCACTACCTCTGAGGATGCTTGCCATAGATGCAAGTGAAACGTCAGGAGAGAATGCCTCTAGACCATGGCCATATAGCCCAAAAAACCCTACAACAACCCACATTGAGACATGTTTCAATATTTGGAAGCATGTCATATTGAGGAAGGAGCAAGTTCGATATTGGACCTTGGAGAGTCATTGCAGTCTAGGCTTTAAGAAATATTCCTGAATTCAGCACAGCCTTATCAGTCATCCCAATGGAAAAACATATATATCTATACAAATAATAAAAGTAAAAATATGTATGTATGTGTGTGGCTGGGGTGTCCACTTTCACAGTGAGGCTCCCACCTCCATGAATAGCTATAGCTCCCACTTCTTAGGAGACACCAATGGTCCTCCCTCCAATGACATTGCAGGTTATAGAAAGTGCCATAAACATATACAAGAGCCCTGCCAATGTCCTCCACCAACACCATACTGCCCACCACCCAAGTGAAGGTTTTCATAAAGGGGACAATTTCATTCTAGATTTTCTGTATTCCCTCCACCACAGATATCCCAGTGTTCCTGACTCTCTCCATTGGTGTGGAATTTGCCACTGCCTCTCCCTTAAAACTTTCCTTTTCTTTTCTATGACACATGGCAAACAACTGAACATACTAGAAGGGTTTGGGGAGAACAGGAGTTGTAAGTCCTGGGATGTAAAGTTTACCTACAATCTGAACTCCACATTGCACATTATAGGAAGTGCTGTAAACATAAACACGAGCCCTGCCAATGTCCTCCACCAACACCATACTGCCCACCACCCAAGTGAAGGCTTTCATAAAGGGGACAATTTCATCCTAGATTTTCTGTATTCCCTCCACCACAAATATCCCAGTGTTCCTGACTCTCTCCATTGGTATGGAATTTGCCACTGCCTCTCCCTTAAAACTTTCCTTTTCTTTTCTATGGCACATGGCAAACAACTGAACATACTAGAAGGGTTTGGGGAGAATAGGAATTGTAGGTCCTGGGATGTAAAGTTCACCTACAATCTGAACTCCACATTGCAGGTTATAGAAAGTGCCGTAAACATATACACAAGCCCTGCCATTGTCCTCCACCGACACCATACTGCACACCATCCAAGTGAAGGCTTTCATAAAGGGGACACTTTCATTCTAGATTTTCTGTATTCCCTCCACCACAGATATCCCAGTGTTCCCGATTTAAAGGAGATGCAGTTCACCTACATCCAGAGCACACTATGAATCCAAACAATGATGGATCTGGACAAAACTTGGCATGGATACCCGATATGCCCAAATTTGAATACTGGAGGAGCTTAGGAAAAATGGACCTTGACATTTGGGAGTTGTAGTTGCTGGGATTTATAGTTCACCTACAATCAAAGAACATTCTGAACCTGAAGCAAAACCTCCCCTACAAAGAAAATCCTGTGACAGGGTCACAATATGTTGGAAATGACTTAATAGTAACAATTCACCCTAGGGCAGTGGTTCTCAACCTTCCCCCTTAATACAGTTCCTCATGTTGTGCTGACCCCCAACCATAACCCTGACATTATGAATCACCATGTAAATAATGATCTGCATGATGTATTTTCATTCACTGGAGCAAATTTGGCACAAATACCCGGTATGCCCAAATCTGAATACTGGTGGGGTTGGCGGGGGGATTGATTTTGGCATTTTGGAGTTGTAGTTGCTGAGATTTATAGTTAACCTGTAAACAAAGAGCATTCTGAACCCCACCAACAATGGAATTGAACCAAAGTTAGCACACAGAACTCCCATGACCAACAGAAAATATTGGAAGGGTTTGGTGGGCATTAACCTTGAGTTTGAGAGTTGAAGTTCCCCTACATCCAGAGAGCACTCTAGACTCCAACAATGATGGATCTGGACCAAACTTGGCACGGATACTCCATATGCCCAAATGTGAACACTCATGAGGTTTTGGGAAAATAGACCTTGAGATTTGGGAGTTATACTTGCTGGGATTTATAGTTCACCTACAATCAAGGAGCGTTCTGAACCCCAACAATGATAGAATTGGGCCAAACTTCGCACACAGAGACCCCCATGACCAACAGAAAATACTGTGTTTTCTGATGGTCTTTGGCGACTCCTCTGACACCCCTTCGCGGCCCCTCCAGGGGTCCCGACCCCCAGGTTGAGAAACACTGCCCTAGGGTAAAGGTAAAGATTTCCTCTTGACATTAAGTCTAGTCGTGTCCAACTCTAGTGGGAGGTGCTCATTTCCATTTCTAATCCAAAGAGCCGGTGTTGCCCATAGATACCTCCAAGGTCATGTGGCTGGCATGACTGCATGGAGCGCCGTTACCTTCCTGCAGAAGTGAGTACCTATTGATGTACTCACATTTGCATGTTTTTGAACAGCTAGGTTGACAAAAGCTGGGGCTAACAGAGGAAGCTCATCCCTCTCCCTGGATTCGAACCACGGACCTTTCAGACAGCAAGTTCAGCAGCTCAATGGTTTAACCCACTGTGCTACCTAAGCTAGTCTAGAATGACAATCGGCTCCCACTCTTTCCCTTTCTGTAATAGATCACAACTTCCACTTGGGTTAACTCCGTTTCACGATTCAGAGATTTAGAGCGAATATGGTTTCGTTTGTTGCCTTTTCCAAAGTAATGATTAAAAAACTAAGCAGCCTCTTGGCCTCCTCTTGTCCTGGGAAAGCTCACATTCTCAGAGACAAGTAAACCTATGGAGAGGTGGGGGGGGGGTGTCTCATATATTTAGGGTATTTGGGGAGTAAAAAAAGGAAACACTTTGGGAAATCATTGATGAAAGCTTCTGGAAAGGAGAGCTCAAACGAGTTAATGGTTTACAGAGGTGAATAAATATCGTAAGACTTAATATTCACAAGGTTTGGATACCTCTCTCCCTCTCAAAAGCTCTTTTAGGTGCAAGGCACACTGTTATCTGGACATTTTTTCTATGGGAACCTAAGGTCAGTAGGATATTCCTAACTTCGAAGCTAAATCCTAATCCCTGCCAACAACAACAAAAACATGTTGATCTTTCAAATCTCAAGGAAGGATTTGGGGAGTTTCCTTGACATTAGCTGTACCAGGACCCTAAGTCAATGAATACGGAGCTCAGAATAAGACCCATATATATTGCATTGGTATTTATTGGCTTCCATTTCAGTGGGGTAATGAATCCGCTCCGGTTTTTAGTCCAAACTTTAAAGAAGCTCTTCAAGCTGCTTAAACCAATCTGCTAAATAGGTTCAGATTGCTCTTTCCAGACAAAAATATTGATCAATTTTTTCCTGTCAATTGCGTGGTGTCCAAATTAATACTGGATGGGAGAAACCGTACTTTTGCTCCTCGTTGTCCTTTGGGGAACTCCATGAATTCCAAAATCCCAGTGGAAGGTGGAGGTCCAGCAGGGCCTGGGAGTCCCACATCTCCCTAGGAAAGAAAGAAAGAAAGAAAGAAAGAAAGAAAGAAAGAAAGAAAGAAAGAGGAGATAAGAGGCAGACTTTCCACTTTGCCTGTCTGAAATCTCATGCTTTATGAAGGAGACTCTCAATCTAATATTAAGAGGAAATCATCATCATCATCATCATCATCATCATCATCATCATCATCATGATATTAGGATTTAAAGATTGAACTGCAAAGACTCTGGCACAAGCCAGTAAAGCTGGTCCCAGTGGTGATCGGCACACTGGATGCAGTGCCTAAAGACCTTGGCCTGCACTTAAACACAATAGGCGCTGACAAAATTACCATCTGCCAGCTGCAAAAGGCCACTTTACTGGGATCTACATGCATTATTCGCCGATACATCACACAGTCCTAGACACTTGGGAAGAGTGTCAGTGCTGATAGTGTTTAAGTGCAGGCCAAGGTCTTTAGGCACTGCACCCAGTGTGCCGATCACCTTGACTGACTTGTGTCAGAGTCTTTGCAGTTGTGATCCAATACAACATCCAGCAGAGACACATCTTGTTGTGTTTCAAATAATAATAATAATAATAATATAACAACAACATTATAATATAATGATAACAACAACAATATTATTATAATACCATAATGATAACAAGAATAATACTTTATTTATAACCCACCTTCTCTCCTCAAGGGGACTCAGAGTGGAATAATCTTGTATTCCGTCACTTTTTGTGGAATTGGGCAAGGAAGGAATCAGAAGTCTAAGGGTGTCTCTACACTGCAGAATAAATGCAATTTGACACCACTTTAACTGCCTTTTCTCAATGACATGGAATTCTGGGATTTGTAGTTTGGTGAAATGCAAGCACACTTTGGCAGGGAAAGCTAAAGGACTTGTAAAACTACAGCTCCCATAACCCACAGCAGTCAAAGTGAATTTATTCTACAGTGGAGATGCACCTCTCACGTCCCAATGAATCAAAAGGGAAATCTCATTTTGCAAAGGTATCAAGGAGGGTGAAAGGGAAGTTGATGTTCTCCTGTTTGTTTTTATTGCCACAAATCAGATGATCAGTTCCAATGTAATAATCTGACTTAAGATAATAGAGCAATAGAAGTTAAAGGAATGTCAAACTGAATCAATCCTACAGTGTAGATGCTTCTTAACCTCAAGTGCCTCCCTTCTAACATTTCGAAAGAGAGTGAAGACGTGGCTCTTTGAGCAGGCATTTCCAAATATAGTGTAATAGACATAGGAAAATGGAATGGTTGGCCGATGTGATTGGACAGTGTTTTAATAGGAGACCTTAATGTTGATGTTTTTATTGATTTTGTTATGGTTTTATTATCCAATTGTTTTTATTGTATTAATTGTATTTTATAGTCTTGGCACCAATTGTAAACCGCCCGGAGTCGCCTGCGGGCTGAGAGGGACAGTATATAAATATAGTAAATAAATACGTTCTGCAATTCATATAGAACAAATCAGATGTAGCAAGATTCCTTCCTTCTCTCCTCATGTCTTCCTTTCTTCTTCCTTTCTTACTCTTTCCTTCTTCCATTCTTCCTTCCTTCCTTTTCTCCCCTCCCTCCCTCCTTCTTTCCCCTTTCCTTTCCTTCCTCTTTCCTTCTTCCTTTCCCTCCCTCTTTCCTTCCTTCCTTCCTTCCTTCCTCTTACTTTTCCTTTTTCCTCCTTCCATCCCATCCCTCCTTCTTTCCTCTTTTCTTCTTCCTTCCTTTCTTCCTCTTACTTCTCTCCCTCCCTTCCTCTTTCCCTCCCTCCTTCCTCTTTCTTTCTTCCTTCCTCTTTCTTCCTCCCTCCTTCTTCTCTCTCTTCCTTTTCCCCTTCCTTCTCTTCCTCTTCCTCTCCTTCTCTTTCCCTTCTTCCTCTCTTCCCCTTCCTTCCTCCTTCCCCTTCCTTCCTCCTCTTCCTTCCTTCCTCTTCCTTTCCCTCCTTCCTCCTCCTTCCTTCCTCCTTTCCCTCCCTCCTCCTTCCCCTTTCTCTTCTTTTCCCTTCCTTCCTCCTCCTTTCCCTTCCCCTTCCTCCTTTCCCTCCCTCCTCCTTCCCCTTCCTCTTCTTTTCCTTCTCCCTTCCTTTCTTCCTCTTTCTTTCTTCATTCCTTCCTCTTTTCTCTCTCCTTCTTTCCTTCCTTCCTTCCCTCCTTCCTTCCTTCTCCTCTTTCCTCTTGCCCTCCCCTCTTTTCCCTCCCTCCCTCCTCCCTTCATTCTTTCTTTCCCTCCTTCCTTTCTACACTTTTGCTCAGCTTTTCCTAGCAGAAGGGAGGAGCCATCATCCACGGCCGTCATCCCAGTCCCGCCCAGCACAAAGCCAGCTGGAAAACCCATAACCCTGCGGCTTCACCACCCGGGGCTCTAATGAGAAACAGACCGGGACGGCTACCAAACTACTCAATTGGATAATCTGCCGCTCGGCTGTCAGCACTCCATTGACAGCTGCAGAGCTCTGCGGGAGCAAAGGATTGCTTTGGAAATTCAGTGAGGTCTATACATTCAGTCCAGGTTAAGAGGCAATACATCTCCTATGTGCGGCTCAGCAGGAAATGGGAAGGAGATGAACAATCAACCTTCAGTAATACTGTAGACTCTCAATTAAGTGGAATCCAAGCAGTAGAAAAAAAACACACACAAAGTAAACGGAACTTACTTTCACTCCCTTTTCTCCCTGGAAAACCAGGCCACTGTTCCCCTGCAAAACACCAAATAATGATCATTCAGCGGGGGGTTGAATCTCTGTTTGTGCATTGTACCATACAATAATAGCAATACAAACAATTCATCTAGGCCTAAATCCATTTGCTAATCCTAACTAAAGCAGACCCAGTGCGGTGGTGAGATTAACAGTGTTGATATACAGGGTTGCTGTGAGTTTTCCGGGCTGCATGGCCAGGTTCCAGAAGCATTCTCTCCTGACATTTCACCCACATCTATGGCAGGCATCCTCAGAGGTTGTGAGGTCTGTTGGAAACTAGGCAAGTGAAGTTTATATATCTGTGAAATAATGTCCAGGGTGGGAGAAAGAACTCCTGTCTGTTTGAGGCAAGTGTGAATGTTGCAATTGGCGACCTTGATTAGCATTGAATAGCCTTTCTGTTTGAAAGCCTGCCTGCTACCTACCTGGGGGAATCCTTTGTTGGGAGGTGTTAGCTGGCCCTGATTGTTTTGTGTCAGGAATTCCCCTATTGTTTGAGTGTTGTTCTTTATTTACTGTCCTGATTTTAGAGTTTTTTAATACTGGTAGCCAGATTTTGTTCAATTTCATGGTTTCCTCCTTTCTGTTGAAATTGTCCACATGCGTGTGGATTTCAGTAGCTTCTCTGTGTAGTTCGACATTGTGGTCCACCATATTCTGACGTGGTGGAAGTTAAAAATGAGGAAATACTAAAAACAGGAGGAGCAAAAAAAGGAAAGAAATACAGTTCACTCTGGTAAGTTAGGAGCACAGGACCCCCATGAAGGTGAATAATAATAATAATAATAATAATAATAATAATAATAATGGTTTTCCCCTTGACATTATATTTAGTTGTGTCTGACTTTGGGGTTTGGTGCTCATCTCAGTTTCTAAGCCAAAGAGCCAGCATTGTCCATAGACACCTCATTTGGCCGGCATGACTGCTTGGAGCTCCATTGTAATAATAATATACTTTATTTATATTACGCTCTATCTCCCCGAGGGGACTCAGGGCAGATTACAGAACACATATACGGCAGACATTCAATGCTATTATACACTTAACAAGGACAGACAATACATAAAGAGAGGTAAAGTCTTTCCCATCTTTTTCCATCTCCGGCATCTGGAGGCTGTGCTCGACTCCGGCCACAGGGAGGTGCTGCCGCTCCATCTTCCATGCCGAGGAGCTTTGTCGACTGTAGACGTCCTCCCAATCAAGTCACCAGCATGTCCTTATGGGTGCCTTTTATAACCTAACTGCTTAAAGCGGTAGCTATTATCTACTCACGTTTCTGTTTTTGATCTGCTAGGTGAGCAGAAGCTGGGGCTGATGGCAGGAGCTCAGCCTGACCCGGGCTTGAACTGCCAACCTTTCAATCAACAAGATTTTCTGCAGCTTGGCAGTTTAACCCGCTGTGGTAAGCCCTAGAGAGGACACCTCTCTGGGAATTTCTATGTCTTGCAGTACAACTTGAACCCATGTTTTCCTAAAAATGATTGGCCGCAAGACAACCATGCAGGGCATCCAATGGAAAAGCCAAGAATCAAGGGAGGAATCCAGTGTACTTACCAATTCACCTGGGGGGCCGGGCGGACCTGGTGGCCCCTAAATATACAGAGATAATAATGTGAGTTAAATGTTGGAATTGACACTTGAGAGATGGGTTATCCACCTAACTATTTAAGGCAAATATGCAAAAGAAGAGGAAGAATGAAAAATCCCCAAAGGAGAGCTCAAGTAAGCTCAAAGTAATGCAAAGGCTCTAGATGAGTGGAGCTTGTTTCTATGACTTTGTCCTATCTGCTAACTTTGAGCAGGGAAAACCAACTTCTAAATGGGTTTTCTAAGGCATATCAATAATAATAATAATAATAATAATAATAATAATAATAATAATAGGATTGCAGAGAAACAACTGGAAAAGCTGACACGATATGAGGATTAAAAAAATCGAACTGCAAAGACTCTGGCACAAACCAGTAAAGGTGGTCCCAGTGGGGATCGACACACTGGGTGCAATGTCTAAAGACCTTGGCCTGCACTTAAACACAATTGGCGCTGACAAAATTACCATCTGCCAGCTGCAGAAGGCCACCTTACTGGGATCTGCACGCATTATTCGCCAATACATCATACAGTCCTAGACACTTGGGAAGTGTTCGACGTGTGATTCAATTCAACAGCCAGCAGAGTGTCTGCTGTGGACTCATCTTGCTGTGTTTCAAATAATAATAATAATAATAATAATAATAATAATAATAATATATTTACATTCCGCCTTCTCCCCAAGGGGACTCAGGGCAGATTACAACATATAAACAAACACAGGCAAACATTCAGTGCATTGTTACAAATGGAAATACAGTGAAACACAAATACACAGACAAAGGCAAAGGCTTCTCCTTTCATTTCTGGCTCTGGAGGTGGTACTCATCTCTGGCTCTGGGGGAGGTGATTTTCTCTATTTCCAAGCCGAGGATCCATTGCCGTAGACACCTCCTGGTCGTTTAGCTGGCAAGATTGCTTGGAGTGTCTCTTTGCCTTTTCCCACCGAAGCAGTACCTATTTATCTACTCACATTTGCATGTTTCAGAACTGCTAGATTGGCAGGAGCTAGGGCCGACAGTGGGAGCTCACCCCATTTTGCGGATTCAAACTATCAACCTTCAGGTCAGGAGTTCAGCAGAACAAGGGTTTAACCCATTGTGCCACCATGGCCCCCTAATATTATAATAATAATAATAATAATAATAATAATAATAATAATAATAATGTATTTATATACCACTCCATCTCCCCGAGGGGACTCAGAGCGGTTCCCAAGTAATATCACAAAACATACAGAGTAAAAACAACATAACCATAAGATTAACAAACAAAAATAAACATAAAAATTGTCGCCATAACACACATATATTATTTTTGTATTAGGATATCCATAGTAAAATCCAAAAGGGTGCTCATTCTAGTAAGTCCAAAGGTACATACACTGTAGAATGAATGTCGTTTTGACACCAATTGAATTGCCATGGCTCAATGCTATGGAATCATCTAACTATGGTAGATGAATGTTGATTCCTCTGCAAACTACAACTCTCTGGATTTCACAGCACTGAGCCGCAACAGTTAAAGTGGTATCAAATGGCATTAATTCTGCAGTGTAGATGGACCCTCTGTTTTAACCCAACTAGAGGTTGTTATTTATGCAAATCAAGAAAAGGGTAATGATTCATTAGCAGATATTCTCTGTTTATTCCAACAAAAGGTAACTAGAAAATGTGATTAAGATGTTGCTGAAAAGGAAAGCATTCATAGCAAAATAATAAAGAGTGCAATACAAAACTCCTATCTGCAATATACTTAAAATAACAGGAAATATATGTGGCCGACTTACTGGGAAGCCAAGTAGCCCCACTGGGCCAGCAGGACCTGGAAGACCTGGAAAACCTCTCGGACCCTGTTTGTTTGTTTTTTTAAAGAAAAGAAGAAGTATTAAACTGAGTCACAAATAAGAAAAAAAACTATGTTTGGATTGTTCTCCAGTTCATCACTCACAAAATGAATTTTGCCTATCTATAATGAGATATCTTGGAGATGGGAC